AATCAAATCAGATGACGTCATAATCATGGAAAAACATTAAAATCGTTGTAGTAGCAACGATTTTATCGTTTTTCCATGATTATGACGTTATTTGATTTGATTTGTTAAAATATTTTGTTATGGTATACACGATAAATCGTTATCGAATCGTTCTATTGTAAAAACTTTCTTTTGTTTTCAATATCAACAATCGCTTTTTAGCTTTTTTATCGTTATCGTTATCGTTGAAGTGTAAACATGCCTTAACGCCGCGTTTCAACTTTTGATTTAGATCCATCAGTGTGACAGGTTGAATTATACAGGTTAATACATCCTGACATTCAGTGCTTAGATGTCCTAACTTAGCTTAAAAATTTCCCACACGAATAAAATGTACGAGCTGCGTAAAGGCAACTTGATTTCTTGCTTCGAAGGTATCCATTCGTAGAAGTACATACATACACACATTCTTATTATTATGCGGAAGAATATTACTTAGTAAAATAAATTAAATTTAACACAAGGATGTTATTTAGTAAAATAAATTAAATTTAACGTAAAATGGAAGAAGCATAGGAAGAAGAATAGGAAAGAAATTTGGAGCGCCTGAAATAACTACCGAAAATAAACAATAATAATCATTTTGTCATTATTGTATCACGTTTTTGTGAAAATTTGTTGGCACTAATCGTCAGGGCTCGAGGTGCAGGCAGCTTACACATTTCATAAATTCGACATCGGCCATTACAGACTCACAGTAACGCCTCGAGGATATCAACTTTTAGATGTCTTTGAATTCCATTGAGGAGAATACTGTGTGAAAATTCGATTTGAAGTGTTCAATTCTCTGAGTGGTAGTCGCATTTTTGCCTGTAAAGCCTGTTTTCCACTATGCGAATATATTATTCGCCCAAATCGTAAGTGTATAGTAGTTTCGGTCCGGCTTCAGACTGGATACTGATGCGCATAAATTTTCAGTTGCACTTGTATCCATTTGGAATAATGTTTTTGTTGAGACAGGTTGAAACAAACAGGATCTAAAATAAAGTCAGAAAGTGGATGGCACTGTTGATGTTCATTAACTCACAACGAATAAGTCCTTAGTACAGTATTAGCAATACTCAGTGATCAATAAAATTGATATAATTAATGATTCTCCATAATGCCTCGGCTATAAAATGGGTTGACAGACATAAAAATTATGCAAGGCATGTCTGATGTGCGATGTCTCCGAAGGATGGGGCGACGGATGGATGTCTCCGATGGAAAAAGTTATCCAATGGGCAAAGCACTGGAAGCTATTTAGGGTTTTGAAAGTCTACTAATATATGTGAAAAATAAATACATTTTTTTTTCTTCCACACATGACTTGAGTTTTTCTCCCAAACGGAAGGGGGATGGGACAGGAGTGAAGGTGATGGCACCACCTCTGATCAGTTTGTCTCTCTTTTAGAGGGCAAATACATTATTGTATTATTTAGACACCCTTTTAGTGTCATGGCATCGATTGCCGTGAACAGATCATGGTGGTGGGTTCTGCTTCCATTTTCTCCTGTCGTTTGCGATCTCGCCTAGCTGTTTTCCATCTCTAACTCCCAAACTCTTCATCATCCAATCTAACATCTTTAATTTTTGTCTTCCTCTTGCTCTTTTCCCTGTCATCTCAGCCTCAATTAAGACTTTAGGACGTGCAAAAACCATTCAAATATTCAATATAAATTTATAGCAAAACTAATGGTTATCTTTAATACTGTATAACATTCATATAATATGAGAAAAAAAATACATTAAACATACACAAACAATTACATTCGGGTGATTCCATCTATAGTTTTTAGGATAAGTTCACTAAATATATATTTCTGTGACCTTGATCTTGTCCTGTGACATTTTTCTTCTTAAATCTCTTTAGATTATTATATACAATTGCACTATATATTATGAAGATTCATTCCTTAGTTTTTGCATAATCTTGCTAAAAGACAGACAGCGGTGAATATATAACCTCTTTGGCAGACGTAATAATGATAATAAAAACAAAAACAATAGCAACATGAATATCACCTATGATATACTATTGCTATAATTAAATGTTGACACTAGTCTGTCCCTGAGGTATAAATTGTAAATTTTATATAATGACTTTTAAAACTCCCGAACTTTCATTATTTAACTTGCTAATATCTGTTTTGTTATTGTCAGGTTGATTTGTCTTGTAATTTTTACGTAATTTTATCATTTTTACCCTTTTAACACAGCTGCAAAGGAAACACAAATTCTACCTGTCTTGAAATGGACAATAAAGTGTTTTTGAAAAATATTAATTAAAAGTATTAATTATATAATAATAAAAGATTATATTGAAATAGTAAATATACTCATCAAATAATTGAAATTTCTACTGTTTCTGGTTGAATTTTAAAAATAATGAATTCAGCATTTAAAAGTATTAAATAAGTTGCCTTACGGCCTACGATAAATTTAGCTTACAATCTAGAAAAAGCCGTTAAAACTGCTCCAGCAATTGTGACCACAAATGTCAATGTTAAAATTATATAATTTCTAATTCCTCTGATCTCATGGAAGTAGAACACGCCCCACAGTGAAGCAATTATAGCTGGACCCTGTAAATATAAATACATAATTATTAGACGAATTAAGATTTATAGGTAAAATAAGACTTTTTTTTATACTGTATTTTGTTTCGCAAACCCGTCGTCTGCCAATATTGGTGATTTCAAAACAAAATAAAATATTATTTTGGCGAACTAACGCACCTGCCGCCAAAAAAAAATTGAAATTTCAGAAAAAAATTTAAGTTTTTCTTTGTTTTTTTTTATTATGCCTGCTGCTGCCTTGAAATCTCCAAATATATGGTATGTATATTTCATCCAAATTATATAAATTTAAAGCATTTAATCATCCCATTACACTGTTTACATTCAATAATAAAATTTTATTTTTATTTTCTCCTCTATCTGAATGTTTGTGGCATTTTATTTTTATTTTGTTTCCACCCTTTGACAATATTTAAAAAACTAAGTTCGCAAAACAAGGGATAGAAAAGTCTTGCTTATAAAGCCAAATAAGAAAAAGTAGTGGTTGTGGGTAAGGTAATTCTAATGTGCTGTCGTAGAGTTGTCATTTCTTGGGTATAAAACCACTTACTTAAAGGAGTAGGTTTATATTCTTACAGGGGCCTCACCAGCTATACTTAAGCGTGGCTTGGGAGAACAAACGAAAAATGACCGCCACGCTTAGGTAAAATAAGCAGAGATTGCACCACGCTAAAAAAAAAACTATGTACCAAGTCATAGCCGTTGGAAGCATTTTGCAAGCGGTCCGGCCATTATAGTGAGAGCGAGGGTTGGGAGTTAGGGTGGCACTTAGCAAATCTGGTAGTAACTGAGAGTGGAGACCTGCTACACCTATCCACAGACACAAGATTTTAAAGTTAGTGAGGTCTGAGAGCATCCACTTCAGCCCCACCTTGGTTGGTGAACAACTTTTTTGGGATGCTGATGCTGGCAATCTAGAGCCGCTATACCTCTCCCTCAAGGGGGCAACCAAATATAAATTTAGCACGGAAATAGAGTCTATGTTGAAAATATGCACATCTGGATGCCCAGAAATAGCAGCTGGCAATCCTGTAGAAAGTGATAAATTGTTTAAATATTTAATTTCTTATCATCGCCATAACTAGATGAATTAAGTTGCTTATGAATAAATAAAGTGCAAGAAACACGAATACATATATAATAGATAACGTTTATAATATCAAACTGTAATTATAATAACACGATGAAATATTAACAATATACAATTACATAGAACACAGGATACAATATGCTATGGAAATGGGCCTCCTACATGGCCGGACGTTTCACTGACAGACATTTGGCCGATATTTGGCCTACAGACTATCGACCGAAATACCATTTCGCCAAATGCCAGTTTGCCGACAGGACGATTCGAGGACAGCCAATTTGCCGCCGACAGGACGATTCGCCGACAGCCAATTTGCCGACAGACATTTCGCCGACAATTTTTGTGAACATGTTAATGGATGGATGTGCCACCAGGTCACATATTTAGATGAATAATTTTTGTGGCCTGACATTTCACCAACAGATATTTGGCATAGACTATCGAAATAGCATTCGCCGACACAAGATTTTGTCTACACCACATTTTGCCGAATGTCAGTTTGCCGACAGGACGATTCGCCAACATTTTTTGTGAACATGTTAATGGATGGATGTGTCACAAGTGGCATGGCATATTTAGATTTATTTTTCTGTTACGTGTCCAAAACCTTTCTTGTACAGAATATTGTGCACAGCTTACAGATATCAAATGTTAAAAATTATGTTTTGAGCATTGAATTTGAAACTTCCATACTGTGATAGCGCTAAAATTTCATGATAAGAAGAATTGGTAGGCCATGTTTAAATCGTGAAAGAATCATTCTATTCTGGTAACGTATTACTATTCTTTATAATAATGGAAGGGCTGTAATAATCTGGGGCAGATGCAGGGGCTTCTTTTCAAAATGAATGCTGTAAATTTTGTGAATTCCTACTATGAAACAATAAATAAGGTCAATGTAACATCAATCTGTATCATGGAGCTGGCATTAAATCACCAAAACTACTGTATAAACCAAGCTTGTTTTCAATTTATTTTGTTTTTTGAAATTAATGTACAGTGTATGTACTGTCTCAAAGAAAAGCGTATGCTATCTTGAAAAGAAGCCCATGAGCTTTTTTCAAGGCTAATTTTACAAACTAAAGAGAGGGCTCCAATTCAAGATGGGCTTTATTTCATGATTAAGTCATGTTAACTGTTCCCTGGTATCCGAGTGGTATAATAGAATAGTGTGTGTTTCGAACTACAAACACAAAACTGTGATAAACAGAATTGAGGCAGTGACAAGCGAAAAAATTGTGGTTAAATTATATACACACTCTGGATATATTTTGTACTTGAAGCATTGAAACATGACACACTTTCTTATAGAAAATTTAGTGTTTTTAATTATGCAGGTAAATATTCCAAATCTTCTCAAAAATAAATCGGTAAATGGTTTAATAATTATTTGTATTGTGATCTATTGTGTCTCTTGTAAATAATGTTCGGACCATGTCAGAAAGCCTCTCTGAAGCTATCTGACAGGATGTTTCGTCGACGGACAGCTTGCTGACAGAGGTTTCATGGATAGTCCATTTTAATTGAAATATGCTCGTCAACAGCCAAATCCACATATTATATCTTCTCTGGACAAATTCAATAATAACATTAATTCTTCCGACAAACTAAATTTGCCTACCTTGGAAGTGTTGGTCAAGACATTTAATTAGTTAATGTGACATGGGTGATTGTGAATGGTATCAGTGGTATAATATAAATACATTAATATTTCGTCTACACCTATCTAATGCATCTCTGGTTGATATAATTCAGCCCAAAGTTGGCCTACATAACAGAAACAGTATCCACAATATGATTAAGCAAACCATTAAGTTAAACCAGAACTCAATAACTTTAATTTCTTTCGCAAGGCTTCGTTGTATACATTAAAGATTATTTCAGTAAATTTGGTATTGTATTAAATCATTAAAGCAGGCCTAACTAGGCTTTTAAAATTATGAGCAAGTTAAAATATCAATTCCTCGAACAAGTAGGTCTGTATAATCCAATTGAAACACTATCATCAATTGAAGTATTTCGAACCATTACTGCTTCTATGATACTAATCAGATTTATGTAGATAATGAAAACAAAATTATAAAATACGAAACCATAAAATATCATGACTGGTATTAAGACATACTGTAGGCCTATATTAATGTATTATAATTCACTTTTTTTTAATACTTTTTGGATGTTGATGTTTCAGTTTAAGTGTAAATTTACATTGTTTGATGTTTTGTATTTGTCTTCCTCTTACATTGTAATTCAGATCTTTTCAGCACTTTTATATAAAAACTAACTAAAAACTAAAACTTTTGAACTTTGACTGCTTTGACCATAGCGAACACCCTGCGACTTTACGTTTACACGTAAAAATTAGAAGTGTCCGATTTACAATGCGCCCTCCCTTTTGAACAATTAGGGAACAATTAATTTACTTTGGTAATAAACTTTGGCGTAATGCGAACACCCTATCTCAGATCCATGGCAACGACTAGGACACCCTCTCCCAAAAGTGATTAATTTTCTGTGCCAAATCGACACTTCTACTATATTTGTTACGCGTAAATCGCGGAGAACGCCATCTTGTGTTTATAAAATCTTTCCAATAAAGGAAAAAATGAAATGGAAAAGAACTGGAATGTAAAAAGGAGCACTTTGAACTTAATTTGCTCAGTGATTGGAAGCTAGTGGCAGTTTCACAAAATGTGGGGCTAAAATATGTTCAAATTTTAGAATAATAGATACAATTCGAGCAGCAGAGTTAAGTTGTATTTGTATTCTTTGTACAATAATGCAATTAAAAATAACTAAAGCTCTGTACACACTATTAAATTTTCTTTGACAAAAAACTGTGGTATGCCCATATATAGTCATGATGTGCCCATATATGGTCATGATGTGATGTCATCATGACCATATTCAGGCATGTAATTGTTTTTTATCAAACAAAATTTTATAGCCTTTACAGGGCTTAAGACAATCTACTCACCGTGGTGATAACTGGAAAAGCGACAGATTGAGAGAGATAAAAATTGGCGACAAACCAGCCCGAATCGGCAATTCCCCACATCACCCCCGAGACCAGTGACGGGAGGACGATCCCAGGCGGTAGCTGTGGTTGATTTTTCTTCAATATACAATACACAAAGAAGTACGTACTTGAGGTAAATAAAATCCCACAAAAATGAGAAAATACATAATCCAAACCTATAATAGTAATAATACAATGAAGATAATATTACATTGTAAATATATATATATATTTACTGTATATTAATTATATATATTTATTGTATGTATTGATTATATATTGATTATATATATATAATATAAATCATCAATTTCAATTTCTTCAATATAATATTATATATATATATATATATATATATATATATGTATATACACATACACACACAACTTCAGTAGTAGACTTTAAGAACACTGATTTATTATGAACTCTCGTTCTGTGCTTGAATAGGAACATGTTGTCATAATCGTATCAAGCATAGTTCCTAAACAAAAAGTTCCTTTACTTCAGTTGTATAAAGTATGAAATAAAAATGTCTGGCGATATTCAAACCTGAAAACACTCACTATCAAGGCAATAACATACCCATTGGGATATAGGCAAAGATTTAACCCCCCCCCACCCCCTGGCACTTTCTCTCATACAACAGACTGAAGCGCTCACACTTAGTGGAGCAGAGGTTAAAGGTTATTCATTTATATTGCACAAAATACGAGAGTCGTTTAGCTATAAAAACCTGTGCGCCGCAGATGTTGAGTCATAGTGCGTAAGACGAGACTTCCTTTATTTCTTGTTTAACGCACTTATTTTTTTAAAGATCACCAGAGGAAGGTGGAATAAAAATAAAATATTGTTTTCTTATATAGTATATAGTTTGCCAATAACATCAAGATGAAGGAGAAAATGAAAATAAAATGTTATTAGTGAATGTAAAATTGGATGGTTAAATGCTTCAAATTTATATAATTAGGAAGAAATATACATATCTTATCTTTGTAGATTTCAAGGCAGCAGAGGGCGTAATTAAAATAAAAGAAAAAATTTCATTTTTCGTGGAGGCGGGGCCAAAAATAAAATTTTATTTTTATTTGAAATCATCAATATTTGTAGTTTGTGGCTAAACAAGGTATAAAAAAAGTCTTGCCTAATATTCAAATCAATTTTGCTGCCTAACACAGTAAACAGAATAAAATACCATAGGCGTTATGTCACTTTATAAACTGTGCATAAATATTAAAGTCCAACAGGACTCTATGGGCAATGGATGTGGCTTGAACTCTCGACCTTCAGGTCATTTGTGTCCTTGGCACTTTATCTACGTTTGTCTTTCTCTACCTAGGAGTATAAGTGGGTGCCTGGTGCTTATCGAACTGTGCTCGCCAAGGAGCCGAGGTTGTGTTCCACATGTGTTTGGTCCACTAAACGGGGGAAATAATTTAAAGCGCATAGAGGTGGGTTATTGCTAAATGCGCTATATAAATGTTAGATTATAATTATTTATATTATTATGTTAGGTTATGGAAAACTAAAAACACATCAACCATTGATTGCTTACCATTCTCACTTGCTCCTTCAATATGATCCTGAATCCAGAGGCAAGGAACAAAATTTACACCATAGAAAATCCCTGCAACCATTGAGAGACAAATGCCCCTAAAAAATTGATATGATATTAATGATTCAAATTTTGAGGTCAAGTTAAAAAAATTATTCTATTTAATATCTCAACCCTGCCTGATTAATCAATCAAAAAAATCGATTTTCAGTTATTAATACAGCATTGAACAATAAAATGAGCACTATAAAATGGTAAAAAATTGATATGATATTAATGATTCAAATTTTGAGGTCAAGTTAAAAAAATTATTCTATTTAATATCTCAACCCTGCCTGATTAATCAATCAATCAATCAATCAACCAATCATTAAATCAATCATAAACATTTCTATAGCACTAGAATTTACTGCCAGAAATTCTTCATAAATTTGTTTACCACGTAACATTTTAATCCTTAGAATAGCTTATTATTATTTCAGGGGTAAATCCAGAGGAAATCTGGGTAGGGGCCATGTGTTGTATTAAACACTGGGGATCTTTAACCAGCGCTGATATAAAGGCTGTAGTTAGCGATGCCCCTGCCTTACTACTCGACCCGACTTGAATCGCCATAGACTATAGGAGTTGAAATCACTATACACTTACATAACTCGTTTTTTGGTTGGACTCAGGTTGTCGACCCATGAAGCATCATCAGTATTTAAAGGTTGATTAACTTGCGTGTTTACCTACAAAGGGAGGTAAACAAAATGTGGTAAATTTTTATAATATTTATATATAAGGGAAAAATAAATTCAAAATTGACTTGGTTTATAATTTCCTCCACCTGGGTTAAATAAAAAATTATATATACACCATTTGAGACATAACATATAACATAACATAAATAAGTATTCATATTCATATATATTTATTTATATAGCGCCTTTCTTTGCAGATACGAAGCGCTTCTGTCCCTGGTCATTGGATCCACATGTTTAAGTGTTGCTGCTGTATTCAGCGCAGGAGCAAGCAACCCCACCAGGTACCCATTTATACTCCTGGGTGGAGAGAAGCAATGTAGATAAAGTGTCTTGTTTAAGGACACAAGCGAAATGCACAGCGAGGGATTGAAACCCCGACCTCAAGGTTGTGAAACCAAACGATTCACGCTGTGCCAAACCGCTTCTACAAAGTATTTTGTTGTGAATCACGCCAAGGATAACGCAGGAAGTCTGAAGACTTGTTTCGGGGTCCTTCTGGTGGTGATTCTGGGTAGTACACCGGCAGACAATCCCCTACTCTTTTCCGAAGAGTGTACTGTGTTCTTTAAGGTGCACATGGGCCATATTGCACACGGCACCAATGAATTACTTTCAATAGATAACAAGATTTATTATTAGGAATAAAAAATTTCAGTACAAACATGAATACTGAAAATATGTAGCAAAGACAAGCCAAACCAGTCACTCATCGCAAAAATCGATTTTCAGTTATTAATACAGCATTGAACAATAAAATGAGCACTATAAAATGGTAAAAGAATCATTTAAATCCGACATTTAGTTATGAAGTCGTTACAGGAGTTTAAACATACAGCTTTTTAAAGAACAATATTTGAGAAATCAGCCTTTGAAGTTCAAGATTTCAGGCATTTCTCAGGCAGAAACCACCATTAAATCGTTAAAAATTAACATTGAAAATGGGGGAAAAAACAGCATAGCATGATATATAGATATATAAAGGCTAGTTTTAGTGAAATAAAATAGATTTCAAAAATGTTGACATCCCTAGGATTTTTTGGTCACTATCTCTGAAACAGGATTTGCGACAAGTGAATGGTTTGGCTTGTCTTTGCCACATATACTATGCAATTTAATAAAAATTTAGAAAATTAAATCAATAATAAACAACAAATAATACCAGTAAATATAGAAAACAAATAAGAAAATTGAATTAAATACACATTTTATATTATGAGGTAAATTAAAATGAGCACAAATATGAATGAAAAGCATGTTGTAGATTGAATCAATGAGGCACAGTACTGGTGCCAGAATGTAACGCAATACAAGATAATTTCCCATATGTGGCAAAGACAAGCCAAACCAGTCACTCGTCACAAATCGTGTTTCATAGAAAATGGCCAAAACATGCTGGAAAATCAATTTAAAAAAAAAAAATCTATTTTATTGCACTAAACTAAACCTTTATATGTCTATACATATTAAATGCTATGCTGTTATTTTCCCCATTTTCAATGTTAAAACAACACTTTTTAAGGATTTGATGAAATTTACTGCATAAGAAATGCCCGAAATCATAAACTTTGAAGGGTGATTTTTCATATATTGTTCTTTAAACAGCTGTATGTTTAAACGCTTGTAACTTTATAAGGAAATGTCGGATTTGAGTGATTTCTTTACCATTTTATAGCTCTTATTTTACACTGTAACTCTGTATTACTAACTCAAAATTTATTTTTGCGACAATGGACTGGTTTAACTTGTCTTTGCCACATATGTCTGCAACTCCACAGTACCAGATTGGGCAATCAGTACTCCCTACAACCCCCCCCTTTTTTTAAAAACCATATTAATAGAGGGTGACCTTCCAGCGTATGCCAGTAGGTCAGCTGACATTCTATGACCTTTTTAAATTAATGAATTATTGTGATTCTTGATCAGCGAAGTCTCATTACGAGGCTTAGGAAGTGGAGGTGTATTTTTAGTTATGAGAAAAAAAAATCCTGAGCTGTCACAGATTTTAACCGAATATCATGGGATTGGAAGGCAAGCATCTTAACCTCCAAGCTACAACACCACTTTAAGCTACATCCCTATTGGTGGAAGTGTCATGCCATTTATGTCTCCCCACCCACCAATCCTTAACTCTACCCAACATTTTTCTTTTTCAAAGCAATGGTTGTTATACCAAAATTTACAAGAGCAATTGCAATTTCGGTACCTCCTTAATATTCAACTGAGATGAAAAATTTAAAACTATGTTTCTACCTCATCCTGGATGTGTTTTAATAATGGTGATGTCTCGTCGTCAATGTTTAAGATGGTTCTACTACTACTGAAGTCGGTTTGAATGAAAATTGACATCAATGTCCTAAATGGAATAAAGAGATGTAAATGAGGTCAAATCAACTCCTATCATGGAGAAATACTATTATTACATTTTAGATCTCCCTCTATTTAAAGACCACTCCAATTAAAGACTACTTTGCTGTGGGCCACTACCAACAAATGTCTTTAATCTTTATTATTCTAATTAGAGACCAAAGCTGGTATGGAACCCCTGTCCAAATAGTGGTATATAATTGAAGGGAGACCTTTATTTTAAGATAAGCTACTAGCATAAGCTAATAGTCCGAAGACTTGATTCTAGTGGGTTCCTTCTGCTAGTGAAGTGCACCGGAAGACAATCTCCTACTCTTTTCCACAGAATGTACTGCGTTAGCTCATTATGTTCACATGGGCCCGGCGAAGCGGCCATGTTGCACGAGACCAGGGTCGCCAAGTGGGGAAACTGTAACAGGGTCAAGGGTTGGTGTTGGCCCTCAGTTACGAGTGCGAGAAGTATTGGGGCCTTGTCAATCTGGATTGGCCCATTATTAGGGGACCCATTCCATTATTGAGGGCCAATTATAGTAATTATTATTTTTGAAAAAAATATTGGAAAAAAAATGCTAACTGCAATTTCTATGGGCCCCCTGGTAAGCTTGGGACCTGGGGATCTTGCTCCACTGCCCCCTCTCAGTGGCCCTGCAGGAGATCAACAGCTCGAATGTCAAATCCAAAGATGGTGCGTTACTTGTACTTCAGCCTTCCAATTGAAATACAAGCAGAGCAGCATTGAATAGGAATTGAACTGGGGGCCTAAAAACCTGACTGGTGATAGACACAGTGTCTATCACCAGTTTAGTCAAGTGAGCTAAAGCATGTTATAATACAACATAGGACACATTTATTCTATCTTCCTTGTTTAAAGTTGTTGTCCAGTCCACTTGGCCAAACAATAGCCTCTATTCTTTCTCTATTATTTTATTTTAAAAAAAAATGACCATATGTGTAAGCTCCAGGGATTTCACACATTACTGAACAAAATTTTAACATGTTTACTGCAATAAATAAATTCCATTGCTGATAAATTTTGCACATGTTTCAATCACAGACCACATGGGTAAGTGGTGTGTGAGGTGTGCTGGCAAAACCCCCTCTCCCATGGTGGCAAATTTGTTCCACTAAGTGGGTTAAAATACTTAAAAATATCATCATTAACTTTTCATTGGAACAGGGATTTAGTTCCGCAATTCTCAATTTTTGCACCCCACAGGCCGACTCCCTGAATACAGGTTTACTCTGGTCTGTTGGTTGGACTGCAGACTTTCTTAAAAACTTGCCCGTATAAAATGGAGCCTTATGTGAAAAACATAATTAATGCTGTACTGGAAAAACTTAACTTTACTGTGAACATTTAAAGACAAAGACAACTCAACTCTTTCCTTTACTCCCAAAACCAAAATCAAGAAATAACTGAACCAATTGTGTGGGTGATGATAATGATGATGGTGATAGCTTGACACTAGAGGAAAGCAGATGGTAAAATTTGATATAGTAGTTAATGGGTTGTGACTCACATGTTTGCTAAGTAAATGTTCAGATTCCTCTGGAAGTTGGACACCAACCGAGGGCTTCAAAAATAAGCTTACTACAACGCTACGAGATAAAAAAAAATTAACAAGACTAAATGAACATTGCAGTGAATGTGGCATGTATTGTTTAAATCATAGGTTGGCATCGGATGAATAATTTTGGTGACACTAACCAACGTACCTGGTTATTTTGACCAGTGTTGGTGGTGCCAGCAAGGGACAGGGAAGGGCAATCTCAGACCAATGTAATTACCTCCCACCCCCTCCTTAAATACAGTGTAATGTAGTGTACTGCAGGGGTGGATTCAAGGGGGGGGGTGGCTGAATGGGGAGCGATTGAGAGACAATGATACCCTAGGGGTTCAGGGCATGCATGCAAAATATTTGTTTCCTAGACTTCCCGGAATAACCTCTGAAGCGTTTTGGGCTATCAATAATTTCCTTTTCTTTACTTTCCTTTTTTTTTCTTTCCAAAAGAATGGGGTGGGGGGAAGCTCAGTCCCCTAAACCCGCCCCTGGACTGTCTGGAAAATTTGAACTATACACAGTGAAAGACATAGACAGGGTCACATATACAGCAGACAAAACACAGAAATGAACAGATAGCAGATACATTGTTGGACAGAGATCCAAGATCTGAAAGACAAAAACAAACAGGGAGGACACACAGATAGAGAGAGACACAGCCTTGCAAACAATGACATACCTTAACATTGCGAGCGCCACTCCACTATAGTTAAAGGCTGGTCTTGTGATAACATCCTTGTCAAGACCAAACAAACCAAATCTTAAAGAAAAGCAAACATAGAAGAAGTTTTAATCATATGCAAAAATAATTTCAAAAACATTTTTAGAATATACAGTAATTATTTAATTTGAGCTCTACTGACCTTCCACTTGCCCAGCCAGCCAAAAGATTCAATGAGCCCCAGATGAGTATTCCCAGACTGAGTCCAATTGTCTTGATGATTGGAATCACTGTAATATTTCCTAATAATAATAGAGATAAAATATAGTAAAAATACAAAAACTGCCCAAAAAAAAAAAAAAAAAAAAAAAACTACTGGGCCAAAGCCTTCAATTATGAAGTTGGCCCATAAGAAAAAGAAGAAGCATAGTGAACCGCTCATCTGAAGATAAAACTGTAAATGATTTTCAGTTCAATTTAATTTTATTAAGCTTGCTCATTTAGAAACAATTAAAAACACAGAAAATAGAATAAATAAAAAAAAAAAGAACGAAGACAATTATTATCCGAGTCTGAATGAACCAAGATATAACCCAAATTGTACTGTAAGACCTTTTGGTCACATGATTGGTAAGATTAACATGGCTATAAGTTTCCAGAACTACCTGTTGTCCACAGAAATCCTCCAAGCATCGCAATTGGTTGAAACGTCGGGCAGCCACGAATAAGATGAACCACTAGCCCTGTTAACCAGATGCCCGTACAGGCTATCCATTGGTAGAATATACCTAAAAGAAAATCAATGACGAAGAGGAAGTTGATGTTGATTTTGAATAATGGGAGAATAAGTGCCACTATTAAAGGTCAAAAAGATGATTTCCCACACTGAACAAACATTGACTACCTGATGTCAGCCACTACCTGAGGGATCAACAGCCTAAAAATATTTGATTTGCTATTCAACCAAATTTGTAGACTGGGTTCGTCCCTAAACGTTGTCTTAATCAGTGAAAATGCTTTAAAATAAATCGATTTTGGCACCATATGGCGTTCCATATTGCTTATTTGCATGGCGTTCCATAGTATACTTTGTATAAGTATACTTTTTCTGGGATTTAAAAAGTTTCTCGATATAAGCAGACATTGGTGGCGCTCTTCGAAAGTCTTTATACCTAGTCTCTCTATGAAAAACCAATAAATTAGAGACTTGTGGCAAGTCTACCAAATTTGTTGTGTTGTGCAGCTTCTTAATACTTTATTACTAAACCCAAACCAAAAGGGGACTTCATTCAAACCATCTGCCAGACATGTTGCACCTTTTTGTGTGCATTTGGAGCCAGCTAGTGCTAGTGGAAAATAATGATACACACAGTCTCTGTGAGATGGACACATACAGTGCATGATTACAGGTCTAATTCCTACAATTAAAGACCCCTAAGACCACCTCCAATTAAGGACCACCTTTCTGCAGCCCCAAATGAATGCCTCTTTTTAATACTTAAAAAAAATATTAGACCAAAGCTGCTAAAAGACCATAAAACCCTCGTCCCAAAAGTTGTCTTTAATTGGAGGGCAACAGTGTGATCACTTCAACGACATTTACTGTAATGTTAATGAGTGACGAGATGTAGTTGTTGCAGCATGCCTCATCAGGTCATAGAGAGGGATAGAGGTCAAGAAGTTTACATGTAATCTGGCTGGCTGCCTTTTTATTATTACAAACACAAGTTGGGCACCAAAAATGTTGGCTTACCATCTCCCGTGTTGGCATTTTTGACAGGAACCAGATTGGTACCAAAGAAGATGATAGCAACTATAACACCAATGTAACCAGCAGTGTCTGATTGATGTGCAGGAGCCACTGTACTTCCAGTCATCCAGCTCAGTGTGGTGATATTAAAATCTGTCTCCATGATTTTGTCATCACCCACTTAAATCTATTGGAGAAACTGTAAAAGAACGGACTGATCAGATAACATTTTCCCTCGACCTATAATGTTGGCCCTACAGGATTGTCTATTCATGTGAAAGGGTTAAGACAGGAGGACTGAAAATGTTGGTATTATCATGATGATATGACAGGGTTCCTGAACCACTGATCTGCAGAATAGAAAATTTTAAGAAAGTTTGAACTAACATATGTTCAAATTTGATTCTCATTGGACAACTGAACTGCTGTGCCAAACTGCTCCTACAGTACATGTTTTATGGTCTTTACTTGCTCAAGCTGCTTCCTTTATTTTACTTTTTACAATCGGGTGCAGATTTTGGTGTGGGGGTGGGGGTGCAGGCTTTAGAAAGTAAAAAAAAAAAAAAAATGAAAATTAAAAAAGTAAAAGAATTATTGATTGCCTATACACCACAATATATACACCACAATATATTTCTGGGCATCTAGAAAACGAAGTTTCCTGGGCCGCATGCGCCTAGGGTAGTGTTGTCTCTTGATTGCCCCACCCTCCGGGAGGTTCACTTGCATTCCAACCTTATGGGAGTGCGTGCAGCTAGCAGCCACTCCAACACGAGACACTTGCGCTACCTATTCTACTGAAAATTAATAGGGACTTGAACTACCATTTATTAAAATCCAGTACATAATGAAAACTTTTCCTCTATTTGCGACAAAAGCTCATTCAGGTAAATTTGACCTACATCTTATGCATGAACGCACTAACCGCAGAAAACTCGAAATTTGTAGCTATGGCCTTAAGCGTGTGGTGTCATTCATGGACGGGGTAAGTTCTGAATACAAAATTTTAAAGAAAAAATGATCAATGATTATTTAAGCAACCAGCATGCTGGGACTTACATGGCAAGAAAGCTTAATTTATGAGCTACAATTGACTGTTCACTCCGAAGTTTAGCGAACTGTCGTTCCGATGGCCCCAGATTGCCAAATGAAACCATTCAAATTATATAGTTGATTTTGTGAGAAAATGGAGTCTCGTTTTGACTCATTTACTGTGTTAAAGGTGTGCAGTGAACTGTTCAGTGAGCAGTTTGTCCTTAAGTTTTCATCGGTTGAACTGTACGGCCATGTAACCTAACAAATTAAACTTTTCTGGTTCCTGATGGCGAATAAGACCGCAGTTATGTCCGTTCGCGAGAGCTCGATTATTTGCCACTTATTTACACCAACCGTGGTGGGGCTGAGCTGGGCGGCGAGAACTTCATATGTGCTTCATCCCCTCCCCCTCCCCCTTCAGAAATTCTCTGGATCCGCCCCTGCCATATTTTAGGATGTCTCTGGATCCCCCCGACAAATAGGCTTATGGGTTAGGCAGTCTTGGTTTTTGTGCAGAAAAGCCTTTTAAATCGAACATACTCTCCGGGGATCATGCAAATGTAATGTAGCGCAAACGAACAAATTCCTTGCTTTTTTAACAATAATCATTTTAATGTAGGGCAGGAATAGGCTAGGCCTATCATAGATAGCTAGGCCTATCCTGCACAGAATAGTATAACCATAAGCCAGTGGCAGTGATACAGCAGAAAACTTTTACACAGTATTTTATTATCATAATATATTATTATATTAATATTATTTATAAAACATTCAAACAAACCACAAAACCTACATAAAAAATGGTGATCTAGGCTATGACTAAATTTACATGTTTAATCTTTTGGAAAAATTTACTATCAATAGAACTATGTAGTAGGCCTACCTGAAGGTTCCTTTTAAAATGTAATGATGGGTCACCTGAGAAGCGGCTGACACTGTGATACGGTATCAACATTGTCAATAATGTAATATGGTTAATGACAAACTTGATAGCCTAAGGAACGCCCACAGATCGATGTGATCAACGATTGTCTCAGCCTGAGTTAGAACTGGTTGCCTTTGGAAAAGCAAAGAAAGTTTGACAATAGAAAGATTTTAACAGTATATTAAAAAAAAGACAGATCACACAATCTCTAGCTAAATCTGGCGATGGGCTAACGTGCTTTATCCACTTCTAGTAACGTGTGCACGTATGTTGATTGACACAAAGCCGAACCATGCAATTGCACCATGTGGTGGCCGAATACGATTCGGGTAGTAGACATTCAGTAGATCCGATCTAGACTAGCCTTGAGCAGCAGGTCCCAATGTGCTATTTTCGTTCAGTAATTTTTCGTGCGGATTGTTGTGCAACACGCGCTAAACATACGGTGAAATACTAACATTTTGTTTACAAAAAATAACATAATTACCACCAACGCTAACCATGGGTAAACCGAAAAAAGGAAAGTCGAACAAGGAGAGATCCTCAGAACCAAACGTGTAAGATTGAACTATGTATTATTTACTTATTATCTTCTTTCCGTCGTGGATAAGTTCAGACATTTGAGACTAGGCCTAGTAGAGAGGCTAGTCTTAGGCCTAGATTATATAGGCCTAGGCCTAGCTAGGTAGGCCTACTGTCACCTGTACTCTACTTAGATGGTGCTAGCCTAGGTAGGCTTAGTCTGGACAGCCCTAGTGTAGCATGAATTCCAATGATATTGACAGTGACTAATGTATTTATTTTTTTGATATACACCTCAATCAAGTCACCATTATATTTCATGAACAACAATGAAATTTAAGGAAAAGCAAAATGAAAAAATGTTGTGTGTGGTGGTTCTGACACAATTTCACAATGTCAATGGTTATTTATTTGGGTACAAACAAATGGGCTCAGAAAACCAATAACAATAACCTATCAGTAAGCCAGTAAAAATTTCAGGGTTGTCCCCATGTGATGTGAGAAAGCAGCTTATTAGCTCAGGTGGCTAAAAAGTGGCAGCCACTGACTCTGTGCACTGAACCGTGGAGGTGTCTTGGTCCCTGGCAGTGGTGGCACCAGAAGGGGAATCTCCGCCCATCCTTTGGAATAGCGCACCAGATTTTTGGTGATACAGTTTGTTTAAACCATTGGTGCATGTACGTGCAATAGGGCCCATATGTGCACATTAAAAAATATACACTCTTCACTAAAGATTGTAGGATTGTCTCGGCTGTATGTACAGTGGCGTAACAACTATGCACTCTTGAGTGGTGGTCTGCATGGCGCGACCCCTTGAGGGACCCTGAAGGAGCCCCAATCCATATGATCCTCAATCTAGCATCCTGACCCAAAAGGCTTTGTTGATACATAACCGCATAATGTGTGTCAGAATTTTTAATGGTAACGGTGGTATTTGATATAGCGCCTTTTCCAGAGGATACAAAACGCTGGACTCTGTTACTTGTTTCAATGACTTTCGTCTCCCCTAAGTGTCTCTTCATGTCTGAGCTAACTGGTGAACCAGCACCAGCTACTCTCATCTGTCAATAACAGGGGATGTACGGACCAGTACACAGGGGTAACCCCCTACTTGTCTCGAAAGATGTACTGGGTTCTTTTAATTAAGTGCACACAAGCCAAATTGTGTACACTGGGCCTATGGTTTATAGTCCTTATCGGAGAAGACTTGTTCCACCACCAGAACCATATGTGAGTGTGATGTTTGAACCAGCGCTGGTATTATGGCTGTAGGTTGTAGCGCCCCTGCACTAACCATTTGGGCACCCAACTCGATTTAAAGTAACTATGTATTTTTAATATACAAGTAAATGAATTTGATAAATTAAAAATAACTTAAATGACCCAATTAATTTTCATTATTGACAATGTATGAGTCATTCATGTTGATGAGATCAGTATAGTTTTGCTTTTTTTCTTGTTCTTGTTCATGGTTCTGTAATGACACTTTTTGATGTATTTAATATTTTTCGGTCAGGCAATATAAATAATGTGCAATATAAATCCGTCTACAATAAGTTATAAGCCTTTCTTTCTCATTAAAAAAAATAGTATCGATATTGACATTGCAATGATTATAATTATAATATTAAGTGTAGTGATTTAGTGAGTGACTATAATATAATTTTATATACTGTAAGTTCAAATTGTGCAAATCAGTTTTTTTCAATTTTGATGTTAATATTGATTGCAATTTATTTGAGGAATAATTGATGTCCTTTTGTTTATCTAAATATTTAAATTAATCAGTCAGATAGTATGTACATGATTTTTTTTAATGATAAAAAAACGATATATTTTTTATTTTGTTATGTACAGTACAGTGTGGGTGTTTTGGAATTTCTGAATACATCCATGAATGAATGAATGAATGACATCGACTGTAGGACATATATCATATTATATTTAGGGGCGGATTAAAAGGGGCCCCTTAAATTTTTAAATTTTTTTTTTTTTTAAATGAAGATAAAAAGAAAATTAAATTCAAATTTGAAGTCTGTGAGTGCCGTTTCCGGCCATCCAGAAGTGCTATTCATAAATTATCTTACCTTAGCTCCAACCATAATGGGGCTGAGTTGGTATAGACCTATCTGTGAAAGTCTCTTGTGTGGGCCCTCTTTTGTATTTCGAATTCTTGGATCTGCCACTGATATCATTATTTATTTCCTTGTTTAGAACATTACAATGACAAACATGATTAAAAACTAGCACATCTAAGATCCAAAATGGAATTGTCAACAAGGACCTAAAAAGGGCATACAAGTCCCAGTGTACTGCCCAATTAATTACCAATGAGAGGGTCTAAACTTTATTCTTCTTAAGACTTTCATGGGTTATCAGTGCCGAATAAACTCAATCCCACCAACCCTTCAAGCCGCAAACAAATAAGCCTATAATAATATTTCTCTATTTCATATTCGGGCTAGGCTAGTTTTAATGCTTCTTATTTGAAATTTTGACATTTAAAATACTTTTAGCTGAGTAAAAAGTTAAATTTAAAAGTCTTTTCTAAAGGGCCCTAATTTGATTGTTTATATATACACCATTTTCGCTAAATTTGAATTGAACATTTCTGAAAACCTGGCAACTACCACTAGGGAACATCCAGAGGCCTAGACATTTGTGCTCTACGTATATCTGTGCTACTGATGCGCAACATTTCTTGTTGTAGTGAGTTAGCCTAGGCTAGTCTTTGAAAACAAAATGCCAAAACAAACAAATAGAAAGTGAGGCACAAAAAAACCTGCAGTGTTTTTGGTTTTCAATGTACTCATAGGAAGATGTGTCTAGAAAAACAAAATTTGCTCAGGTTAGTATGCTGGATTCCTCCAGTGAAAAGATGCGAGACGTTGGTGGCGCTGTTCCAAAATAGACCTGATAAAATGGTGTATAGGGAGCACACTTATTTTATTAAATTTACATGATATATTTACTTTATTCCTAGTGAGGAATTTGACGGTGCTGATGACAGCATGAATACAGACATTAAAGAAAAAGTCATCTCATCTAAACCTTCAGAAAAGAAAGGCAAAAAGAAGAACAAGAAAGACTGGTAAATAAAATGTGTACATATTTTGAATTAACAGCATTGTTTTAAATATGCATCATATGCCAAAAATAAAGAAAACCAGAAAAACCTCATTGAATTAAATTTATTTAACCATATTTAAGAAGGGTAGCCCATCTTGCAAAGCTAATAATTTGGCGCCCTCACATTCATTAGAACTGTCTGCTGAGTGTCGATGTAGTCTGAACGAATTGTATTAAAAACCTATCTGTTGCGCGCGTCATGGCGTTTGATTCTCCATAGAATGACGTCAGCCGACAACTATTGGGTGTGGTGAGTTTTTCGCAATACATACATTTCAAAGATTTTTCCCAATTATTTTTATCTGATGGTACATCTTTATACATAAAATCAAAATGTTCACATGTTAGCAGTATAATTATGTAGATAATAAAAGATTTCACTTTTTTTACAGGAATGAAGATGACTTGTTGGATGATATCACTGAGCTAGAGACAAATGGAATGGATAAAAAGGATGAACCACAACAGGACACCACTGCAGTTGAGGAAGAACAGAAGGGAGGCAAGAAGGGCAAGAAGCAAAACAAGAAGAAGGGATTGTAAGAATATTAAATTTAATTTCAATTCAAACTTGAATTACTTTGGAATGCTACCAAGGGCCGTTATCTACTAAAACTACCATATAATATAACTAGGGGGTGGGGGTGGGGCTGCTGGTGGGGGGGGGGGGCTGCTGGTATTGCGGGGGTTTTATTTTTAATGGTTCTTAACACTCTGCCCGTCAAACACGGAGATCTCCGTGTTTGGTAGTGCAACGCTTGACCAAAGCATAGGGATATTGCCACACTCAAGATGTGTATAAGAGACAGAATACATACATTTCAAAGATTTTTCCCAATTATTTTTATCTGATGGTACATCTTTATACATAAAATCAAAATGTTCACATGTTAGCAGTATAATTATGTAGATAATAAAAGATTTCACTTTTTTTACAGGAATGAAGATGACTTGTTGGATGATATCACTGAGCTAGAGACAAATGGAATGGATAAAAAGGATGAACCACAACAGGACACCACTGCAGTTGAGGAAGAACAGAAGGGAGGCAAGAAGGGCAAGAAGCAAAACAAGAAGAAGGGATTGTAAGAATATTAAATTTAATTTCAATTCAAACTTGAATTACTTTGGAATGCTACCAAGGGCCGTTATCTACTAAAACTACCATATAATATAACTAGGGGGTGGGGGTGGGGCTGCTGGTATTGCGGGGGTTACAAAAAAACATAATACATTGACTGACGAGGTGGAGGGAGATGGGAGTGAAGGGGATTCTTTATAAGTTTTATTTTTAATGGTTTTTAACACTCTGCCCGTCAAACACAGAGATCTCCGTGTTTGGTAGCGCAACGCGTGACCGCCAAACACAGAGATCGCCATGTTTCAGGATTTTTTTACGGAATCTGATAGATGGGGTAGTTACCAACATATACTAACAATTTGAACACTATATTCAGTCTGGACCATAAGTATTTCACTATTTGATTGTTTACATTAGCGTAGAGTGGTATTGATTTACTTTCACAAAATCGTGATTATTTCAGCTTCGTTGTGCGAAATAAATCTCCAAAAGTGAGTCATTTTCATTTTACTGTAATACAGGTCACAGATTGTGCTTGGAATAATGTCTTTGATACAACTGTAAAGTTAAAATGTTTGTAGTTCTTGTAGTATTCACTACATGTCAATCTGATCACATACGCACTCGCAACAAGCTTCGAAAAGTGTTAAAATTTGCTAAAAAGTCTGGCGGTGGCTGATACTACTGTTTCAAACCCTGGCGGTCAGAGTGTTAAAAAGTAAAATTTTGTAAAGATGAGCATTACAGCAGTGACGGTACCAAACAATTTACTAATGAGAGTTACAAAGTCCCTGTAAAGAGGTCCAAGCTTGTGACGAAAGGTTTAAATTCCCTGAAGGGTCGGAATTCTCCTCTACCACACCATGTTGTCAGCAAATGTTAAGAACAGGCACTCTAGATACCGTGATATAGCACTCTTCCTCTTCTTTTTTTGGGCTTTCGGCTTTGTCAAGCCATTAGCCCTGCCACCACTCTCTACCAGTTCAGCCTTTCGCATTCGTTATTGTTCAGAGTACTGATTGTTTTGTTTATTTGTTTGATCCATAAGTGTTTAGGTCTTCCTATGTAAATATTGCTTTTTAAAGCAGTGTTCCCTGACGACATGATTGGCTTCTTCCTCCATGGGGGTCCTGTGGCCACTGGACCCCCGGCTAATGCCGCAGCTGAATATCAGTAAGCTTATATCTTGTATCTTTGCAGTGATGTAGATGATATCGCAGACGAGATTGCCAGCTTAACAGTAGCGGATTCAGAACCAGCTGTACAAGAACAACCAGCTCAAACCAACAAAGGTGGAAAGAAATCCAAGAAGAAAAAGAAGAAAGATTTGTAAGTTGTGTCATTTGTTAGGAATTTGATGATTGACAGGTGTTCCAAGTGTCCCACGACTTGGTGTGAGATTTACAGAAATTGCAGTCTTCCACACCCCCCGCTACCCTAAAAGCAAGCAAAAAATTTCAGAAAAAAAAACCACTTCTGCCAAATTCATGATTTTTATACGATTTTACTACTGTGTTATTTATTATGTGCCTAACGTCAAGTGGCCATGGGTATCGCCACACTCATCCCAATATCCGATTTAATATCTTAAGGAAGCTCATTAAACCATATCTTGGAAATTACTTCCTGTCAGTGTAACAGTATTTTCTCACAACCAAAAACAAGTCCACTTCATAATTAGTTCATGTAGAAAATCTTGTTTGTATCTTTGTCTTGTGAAATAATTGCCACTCAAGTGAAGTGATTAAGTTTGCTATTGGTATAATCTTTGGCCTTGAGCCTAAAATATATGAAATAAATAAATAAAAGTCTTTGCTTTCATCAGTGATCCTGATGATGAAGATGATCTGGACAATAATGAAGATGGAGAAAATACAAGTACTAGCAATGATCAGGTAAACAAAGTAACAATAATGTAATGTGATGGGTATACTGAGGTTGTTTGTGAGGGTGTTTGTTGTTGATTAATGTAAGTAGTTTATAGTTTTCATTCTGTATACTCTTGTTATATGTCTTTAATATATAGCATATCGTTTTCTTTCTTGTATAGAAAATAGAAAAATCTGAAACGCCTGCTGAAGAAACTGACGACGGCCCAAAAATCAAAACAGCCGCTCAGAAAAAAGCAGAAAAAAAGGAACGGGAGCGTAAGAAAAAAGAACAGCAACGAGCTGCAACGAAAGCAAATAAGGAGAAGGTGACTGAGAACGTAGAAGGCAGTACAGCAACAGAGAAAACAGAAGAAACGGAGGCGTCAACAGCCAAAGCATCTGTAGAAGCGGATCCGAAGAATGTAGAAGGTATGATGGGCCATTTTATTTATTTACCTTAGTTCCTCTGATATAAGCCCACTTCCATTGAACACAAAATTATGCCAATTTTTTTTTGAAGTGGCCTTATATCCAAGTAATCACATTTTCAATCAAATGGCAATGTTTTAGCACTGTTTTAAACACACCTAAATAGATCCCTGTCCTTTGATTGGTGGATTTCGTATCACATGACATTCATTATTTACCCCATTTCGTCACCTATCGTGGAAATTAATTTCCATCCATGCATTTTTTTCCCATCCATTTTGGCCCATTTTACTGTGCCTAGGAAATTATGCGACTTCAACCTAATACAATATTTTGATTGGTTAAAAGACCGTTGGACTTTTTAATTCAGAAAAAGGGAGTTTTATCATAACATACTAAATGACAAGAATCTCCATTCAGAAAAAAGGTAGATTTTTTTTGAATAAAATATCAAGTGACAAAAATCTATTTTAAAACAAATAATGGATGTTTTTATTCGTGCAATGGAAGTAATATTTTCATTTCAAAGATTGATTCAGTATTTATATAATTCAAAGCCAATCAAAAATTTCTGAGAGTATTTTTGAAAGTCGTAACTGGGGGGGGGGTGGCTAATACCCGAGTTAGGCTTATGTCAGAGGAATTACAGTACTATTTTAGACATTTTTCAGGCAACAAATTGGAAGGAACTATTCCAAAAACATGACACAATATAAAGCAAAGCACATGCCTGGTGGATTGCCTAAAAGAAACCAAAGCTGATCAAAAGGGTCTGCAACTGTGTTTGCAAACACTTAAAAAATACTTAAAAGATCAAGTGTTCAAGTTTTGTGAAGTTTGCAAAAATTTCACATAAAACTTAAATAAATATTATAAAAATATATAAATACTTTGTGTTCTGTTAACATTTTATATAATCATTTTGATTTATAGATGAAGAAGATACAGAGGATAAGGATGATAAGAAAAAGAAAAAGAAAAAAAAGAAGGATAAGAAAGAAAAGGGAAAAGATGATGATGATAAGGAGAAGAAAAAAAAACCAAACAAAGGTGGGTTAAGTGGGTGTATGTAGTGAGGTTAGCAGAAAAAAATCTTTTCTTTCCAATAAGCCTACTTGCTGACACTTGAAAGAGTATATTGCATGATGTCCAACTGCCCTTGTTTTGTATGCACGCAATGAACCTTAACAAAAAAAAGGACTACCACGAGGTAGGGTGCGCTCTATTAGAATTTGAGTAGAGTTCAAAACTCGCATTTTGAAGGGCGCCCTCTAGTTTGTGGTAGTACCTTTTAAAAAAGGATTACGTTCCAACAAAACCCCAATAGTAGGACGTCTTGCAGTTATATATTCTTTAATTGTGGTAATACAAATACTATACTTCATTATTTATTCCACTTGGGAAAATTCAAAATTCAGGTCTGGATAATTGACTTTAAAATTATATAGAGAATACTTGTAATTGTTTAAAAGTTTAATAGGTCTTATGAAAGTGTTTCTTCTCATGGCATAGTTTTCTACGTTTGAAGTTCTTTTATGTTTTTAAAAAAAATTTTCTATCGCAAAAAGAAGTTTATGTAAACATTACTGTATGTAGAAAGTTCAATTTTGTACAAATAAATTATCCTTTGAAATACTCAGCTATGCTTGAGGCCATGAAAGTGGCTCTGAAGCAAAAACAAGAGGAGGAGGAAAGATTAAGACTTGAGGAAGAAGAGAGGATACGAAAGGAGGAAGAAGCCTTCCAGAAGAAATTAGAGCAACAGCGGTTAGAGAAAGAAATGAAGGAACGAGAAAAGCAAAGAAAAAAGGTAGGGAAAAATATGATATTTTCGATAACAGTTCTGTATACTGTGCTGTGGCTAAAGCCATCCACACCATGTGTTGGCTGAGTGTCTGATGATGAATCTCTATATGCTCAGTGGCATATCTAGGGGGTGCACACCCCTCCCACCCCAGCTTCCCCTGTCCCCCTCCCTTCAAGGAAAAAAAGTATGCTCAAGTACCGTAAATGCTCGAATAAGCGCTGCAGCGTTTATACATTTCTTTGAGGCTTCAGTGCAGCGTTTATTCGAAAGCAGAGCTTATAACAAATATTGGCGTGGCGCTTTTCATGCCTGCTCCCATGTTACCTATTTCACGTATTCCTGTAGTTCGGTAGTCCTATCATAGGTCCTACGTCATCGTAAATAAACATTTAGAAAGAAATATTTGCGTCTTCATTGCGTTATATATTCATTTTAACACCGTATACATTGTATTTTAAACCCTGTTTCTCAATAGTGTGTCATTGCACATAGGGTAATATATGCTTCTGATTAAGCGTTGCGGTGCTTAGCAAAAAAAAATCTTGTTTGGTGCGGCGCTTATTCGAGCACTTTATCTGCATTGCTTCTCTCCACCCATGAGTACAAATGGGTACCTGGTGGGGTTGCCTGCTCCTGCGCTGATTACCAGCAGCAACACTTAGCATGTGGACCCAATGACCAGGGAAAAGAACTGCGCTTTGTAACCTCAAGGAAGAGGCACATTATAAATGCACATACCTGTACCAGTACCTTTCATGACTCATATATGCACCCTCGAATGTGCTGTGTGTGTAATTGTTTGATTTTTTTTTGCATAAAAATGATTACTTTTTATATTACACAGGAAAAAATTGAAAGGCTGAAGAAGGAGGGAAAGTGGCTAACGCCAGCTCAAAGGGCTGCCAGAGCTCGTGCTGAGGCTCAGCTACAAGCGATGCGAGACCAAGGAATTGTTATACCAACGAAAGTAGACGAAGATAAAAAACCGCAAAGGGTTAACTATGGGACAAGAATAAAAAAAAAACCGAAGGGTAAAGACAACATTTTTACTTCTTAAAATGAAACTGGCTATCATGTGTGTGTAAAAGTGGCACTATCAGTTGGCAATCGCAGATGTATTTTCACTTAAACCATTTAATAGGTGGATGAAACTTTGGAAAAAGTATGTTATTTTGTTGATTTTCTGACAGGCCTTCTAGTTCATTATAAAAAGCCCCTCAAGCGTTCCATTAGAAATTTGAATTCTTATTTAAAAAGATCTAATTAGTTAACAGTTGTGATGTATAGCTTAGTGGTTAAGGTGCTTGCCTTCTAATCCCAACGTCCTGGGTTCAAGTCCTGTCACAGCAGGACTTTTTTTCACGACCAAAACAACTCCACTGCCTAAGCGTCATAAAGAGACTCGGTTGATAAGCATTGTGCAACCTGTAATTATCGAGTTACTCACTGTTTGATGCTAGTGAAAAAAAACCAAAATATAATAATAATAATAATTTACAATACTACACATATCAAAACAGATAATTAAAGACCAAATACATTTATTTCCAAGTAAATACTCCCTTACATAATATGTCTTAAGGTTTGTTTCACACCAGCTTTTATTCCTGGTTTTCTTACTGCTTGCTTCTAGAGCGATTTCGGACCTAACTTCTCATTAAACACACTCATGGTCCGCAAATATTTTCACATACATCAATCTGTGTGAGTGTTTTGTCCCAAATACAAAGTACTGTATCCTAGATAAATATCTAGGTAATCCTAGATAATATCTAATATTTAGTAACACTGGAGTGTCTCCATATATTATATGGAGACACTGCAATGTTACTAAATCCAGGAACAAGCTGCTCATAATCTCTAAAAGGAAAAAATCAACGAAATATATTTTCTGCTCTTTAAGTATTGGATTTTTTCATGATGTTTAATGCATTGTTAATATTCTATTCTTAGAAGTTAAAGTAGAAGATGCTCCAGTGGTCGAGGAGTCTGAGACAAGTGAAGAACCATCGACCGCAGATGGTAGGTTTGATTCTGAAATTGTCTCAAGTATTTGTGGTAGAAGTTGTGCAGCACTTACAATTTGGTCACTCACACTTCAAGCCAGGTGCACACTGGGTCAAGCAGACCAGCCGTCAGCCGATGAATTTATCTCCTCTTGGCGATCCGACACCACCTGTTGATATAATGGATGAATTGTTAAGATTGATTTGCTGTGCACCTCTTTGTGTCACGTTCTCCTTGTAATCAACATGTAGTCAACAACCTGGCTTTGAAGTTGGATGCAAAATGCGTTTCTGTTCATGTTTATATGGTCGAGAAGTATATTTATATCAGTAATCTATTGAGATTATTCTTTTATTTACTTAAAATAGATTCCATCATAGACATCCTGTCTCTTATACACATCTAGATGTGTATAAGAGACAGAAGACTTGTTTGTATGCTTGGTTTTCTGTAAAAGCATAGCCTCAAAAGTCCAAAGAATCTTCTAGTCTCCTTCTGATGGTAAATTGGACATGCACAAGTAATCAAATAGTGAATATAATTATCCTCATCATCACCATCTTTTATATGATGTGTACCCTTAGCCCTTAGTAAATAGAGCACATTCTAGCCTGACTAGTCAGGTGTTTGCCAATTAAGTGTGTCAAGGTTTATGACCCATTAAACTGTCGCACGGTCCTTAGTAACTAGAGCAAATTTGAACCCGAGTCCGGATGTTTGTGTTTAACATTCACATGGCCATAAATGCACACAGGACAACGGCTTAAACGTCTCATCCGAAAAACGGTCCCCTATTGTAACTTGTATTTCAGTCCTCCAGCTGAAACACAATGAGAGGCAGCGATGGGAATTGAACCAGGGACCTACCGGTAGTAATCTCCACGGTTCAGCGCACACACATTGGCTACCACCAGATTAGCCAACTGAGCTAAGCTGCTCTCCCTGCTGTAGGAATAGAATGTAGCAGACAATGACTTATATTTTTTTTACAGCCCCTGAAGTTGTATCCAAAGAAAAGGATCGAACTAAGAGTATTGAGGAAGAGGAAGATGAAGAGGAAGAAGAAGAGGAGGAAGAAGAAAGTGAAGAAAAAGAGGATGAAGAGAGTGACAGTGAAGAGGAGAGTGAGAGTGAGGAATCATCATCATCAGAAGAAGAAGAATCGGATGATGAAAGAACTCCAGCAGAGAGAGCCAGAGCTAAGGCTATGAACAGAATCCAAGTAAAAACATTTAAAAAAATTATTTAAAAAAATACAAGTAATACAAGTACATTCTTATTAAAGGGACAGTTTTTCAGCCACAAAACGAGGGAAATTGTATCGTTTTAACACGTTGGCTGCCCGCGATGAGTATACTTGGCTCACATGGTGTTGCTGTGGGTGCCAGGTACGACTATACTCGTCAAAATCGGGGTAACATTCTAGCGTTTATTCCTTCTTTGCTTATACATATTGTAGAACCAGACTTAATGTCGGGTACAGTAGTTTGGGGAAGATATACCTAGACGATGACGTACAAGTGACATGTATGTTTGTTGTGTTATGTTACCGGCAGTACACTCAAGCAGCACAAGTGGGGGCGCCCTTTTAACATATACCAACCCATGCAAAAAGTGGATGAGAAAACCCGCACTTGGCATAGTCAATAAAATGTGCTGTCACAGTGCCACAGACAAGTTTACTCGTCGTGTAATGAGTTAATATTTTCCCCCCAATTTATTAGACACATCATTTTTAAAAAATAGTCTGGCAGTCAATGTGTCAAAACTACTGTTAACCCCTATTCATGAGTAGGGGTACTCCTGTAATTTGATGATGCATAGAAATAAAACAAGTGATAGCAAAATTTAGAAACATTAATTTGACATTAGAATTCATAGTTTATTAAAATGTCCACTACTTTAAAGGTGACTGTCCACATAGCTTTTCTCAATACACAATGGGGTTATCCAGGTAGAGGCTGAAGGCATTCTTGCCCCCACCCACCCCAAAACAGCAGCCAATTATGCCAATATGTAAAGGGAAAACAAATCTTCCTCCCAAACCTTTCCCTTTTAGACTGTACTTCCTTAATCGGTGCTCAATCCAACCCTCAACATAATTTTTTCTTTGTTTCCCTGTTGATTACATTGGCTACTTACATCTGACAAGCAACTTCCATCAGTGCTTAAACCTCTTTGAAAAACTGTCTTCTGAAACATTACTATAAGTTGAATACCTTTTGTCTCTACAACAGCAAAGAAAGGAAGAAGCAGAAATGGAGAAATCTGTAGATAAGCTCCGATGTCCGGTTGTGTGCGTACTTGGACATGTGGATACCGGTAAAACCAAGATTCTCGACAAGGTAGGCTTTAAAATCAATCGACCAGTGCCCTTCCCATGGATATCATTGCTAAGGTCTCATGAAATGGCAGTGTAACGTACGTAAGTACTTGGCAACTGTGGCAAAATGTGTGTCGGGACTACAGTGGTGCGTATTCGTGGTCAATAATAGGGCGCTTGCAATTACACGGCGATGGTAGGACATAGAAACGTAATGACATCACTAAAAGTCATCTGCACGTGCGAGAACATTGAGTTCTCCTCATCGCGTGTATTTTAGGATGCAATTTGGCCAAATCTCCATATGCAGAGAACATAGGATGCCCGGTAGGACGGTCATGCATGAGTGATTCCGTTCTAGCGTTGCGTTGTCGGGCAAATCGAAGGCTTCCTAATAATGATGTCACCTTTATATAAGGCGCATTATCCATCTTGGAGAGCTGCCCGCGTCGCAATGGTCATGTTCTGATGGGTCATATGTTAATTTTTATTGACACTAGGGCGGAAAAATTGATTGTTGTTCCAACTGTGACTATAAAATCTGATGTTACTCCTAAAATTTATCCATCAAGGTTCGTTAAAATAAGAGCTTAGAATGCAAAATATTTCCTCAATTTGTCCACAATATACATTAAGTTTAATTACATTATTTCCAAGATGCGTCACTGTTGACTGTTATTTGTTTATTTAGATCAGGCATACAAATGTGCAGGATGGTGAAGCAGGAGGTATTACCCAGCAGATTGGGGCAACAATGGTACCAGAGACAGCTATAAGAGAACAAACAAAGATGTGTAGACAGGTAAGTTATTGTCAAAAGATTGAAACTTAGTTTATATATATGTGGAGATCTCTAGGCCCCTGGTTCAATTCCCATCGCTGCCTCTCCTTGTGTTTCAGTTGGAGGGCTGAAATACAAGTTACAAGCGCACCGTCTTTCAGATGAGACATTTAATTAAGTCGTTGGGCCTGTGTGTATTTATGGCCCATGTGCACGTTAAAGAACGCAGTACACTCTTCGGAAAAAGAGTAGTGGACTGTCTCCCGGTGTACTGTCCAATTACCACCAGAAAGACCCCACAGGAAGTAAGATTTCTTCTAGACTTTCATGGGCTATCCTTGGTGTTAACACTAAATATATCCAATCCAATAAAAAATTGTTAGGTGTTGGTATCATTTTTTTCCCTCTTGTTTATATTCGATTCTCTATCATTTTACAGTTTGCGAAAACGGAGATGAAATTTCCCGGTCTTCTCATCATCGACACACCTGGTCACGAGTCGTTCAGCAACTTACGCTTACGCGGGTCATCGCTGTGCGATATCGCAATTTTAGTTGTTGACATTATGCATGGACTGGAACCACAAACAATTGAATCATTAAATTTATTAAAATCCAAAAAAACACCGTTTATAGTTGCTTTGAATAAGGTGAGTTTGGGGAAAGCTGTGTTCATAAGCTGCGTACACGCTGAGCCTGCTGACAGTCGGCTGCTGAACTTGCACAGAGATCATATCCTGATATGGCACAGGTGGGCAAAGTGCAGCCCGCGGCCTGATAGCCATGTTTTTGTGACCCGCGAAGATGAATTAAAAACCCTATGTGTGCTGCCCGCCAATCAACATTTTTTTCAGACTGACACCAAAATTCAGCAGGCAGCTTTGCGTCATAAATAAATGCTCACAGAGAGGGGAGATGTGCCCATCGTAAAGCCAGGCGCTTATTGTGCGCGATGGTCCCTGGCAGATTTGTTTCCTCGGGGAACGCACCATGGCATTTGCACAAGTGATCGTTTTTATTGTTGATCCATTCAGACTGCCATCGACAATCAGCCAACGTTGTCGCATTGTCTTAGTGCTCTGAGGGTGCGCAGTTGAATTTGTACGACAGTCATACGATGCAGTGAGTGTCCGGCTTAAGAAGTCGGCAGACAGTCAGCTGATGCAGGGTCTGCCCATCTTTTTAATATACTCACTTCTTAGTCGTGTGTCTAGTCAGGTTGCTTCTGCAAGTGAAGCTGGTGTGCTACAGCCAATCACATGATGACTAACTTTGGATGTTGACCTTTTCCACAGGCATAGGTTGATGAATGAAAAGCAAATGAAAGAGATATTTCCTCATGATGTTTTATAATTTTTGCCTTTCAGTTTAAAGCTGAAGCTTTATGTTGCATTCTGGGAAGTGGAGGGAAGAGTTCATAGAAATACAGATAGCAAAATAGAGACTTAAACTTCAGTGTAATTTATTGTAATCAACTGTAATATGCATTTACTTGTATTGTTAGCTGTCCTCTATCGTGAGTCCATTGACTGATTATATCAGTTGACAAAAACATTGCATATAATATTTGAGAGAGATCAGCAAATTCCAAGCTCTGTACTTTTAGTTACATTAAAAGTTATTCTGCCTCATTTCCTGACAATATTAAAAATGACTGTCTACGTAACCCTCTGAAAATGTTACTGAACACCACAACCTTTGACATTTCTCTTCGAATAATTAGATTGATAGATTGTATGGTTGGAAGCCTAGTCCGCATACGGACGTTATGAATACAATAAAGAAACAAAAGAAGCATACGCAGGATGAATTTGATGAGCGAACACGAGCAGTTGTAACAGAATTTGCAGAACAAGTAAGTTCTTGCTTTTGATGTTAAATAATATTAAGACATATATGTAGCACCTGTTGTCAAAGGATGCATGGCCTAATCGACCTTGATTTTTTTTTGGCTTGAAGTAACATACAGTACATCACTACTGTACTCCAATTTAAAGATGATGAGGACAATGACGAGATGATAGTGTTGAAGATAATGTAGAGTGCCATAGCTTTTATTGATAGCAGTGACTAAGATTGCAGTACCATAGGCTATCCTTGTAATAGTCCCTAGCTGTTGCCAACCCTAACCTTGTTTATCATTACCGAGATAGCATATGGTACCGTAGCTCTAGAAAAATTGTTTATTGATTGATTACCCTCAAAAAGACACCAATTGTATAAACAATGCAAAATATACTTTGAATGCAGGGTATGAATGCTGCCCTCTTCTACGATAATAAAGATGTACGGACATATGTATCTTTAGTACCAACGTCGGCTCACTCTGGTGACGGAATGGGAAATCTAATTTCTCTTATTATTGAGCTGAGTCAAACTATGCTGGCCAAGAGGCTAATGTTCTCTGAGGATCTCCAATGCACAACCATGGAGGTAAGTAAAATATATAGATCATATCCAGCAGAGGTAGAGTGTGTCTTATTCAACATGATTTGGGGAAGGTAAGGAGAGGTAGTTTCTTATTGATTAGAGTTAATAAATCAATCAAATTTGTTTGAATTGACACTATTATTATAGCACATTAGGTCAAGTATTTCCAATAGTCATTTGAGCATTCTCTTGCAGCAGCTCCTTTTACTAACTCAAGAGACCAGAGAGCTGTTATTGGTTTTAAAAACTGGTGGTGAATGAACCATGAAAATCTTTGTCATCACGGGTGATCATAATTTCCTAGTCAATAATCTAGGACCAATTTAATAACTAACTTCACTTTGAAGAGCTAGGAAAATCTTCTAGCTCTATTTTCATATACAGAGCTATTCTGTACAAAGGCCCAACCGCTAATGTTGCATCTAAAGGACAAAGTAGTTAAATTTCTTACTGCAACTCAACTATGATCGATTGTATTCTTCTGATATTCGTACTGCAGGTAAAATCCTTACCAGGACTTGGAACAACCATAGATGCTATCTTAGTGAATGGTCGACTTCATGAGGGAGATACAATTATTGTTGCAGGGCAAGAGGGACCAATTGTCTCACAAATTCGTGGCCTTCTCATGCCTCAACCTTTGAAAGAGTTAAGAGTCAAGGTAATTTAACTGATGTTGATAACATTGTTGATTTGCTAATAATTTAAGCATTGTTTAAATGTTGAAACAGCTATATTTTTGCTTTACAGGCAGTAAACCTAAATTGACATCTAGAGAAACCCTTTTAATACAATTCAGTTATGACAGTAACTGTGATTTTGTTTTATTGACAGAATCCTTACGATAAGCACAAAGAAGTAATTGCTGCTCAAGGGGTGAAAATCCTAGCGAAAGACATGGAGAAAGCACTCGCTGGGATGCCATTGCTAGCTACTAGGTACCAAGATGAGGTGGAGATCATGAAGGTATGCTTTTAACTTTTAATGTCATGATATGCAATCAGTAACTTTAGTAAAGCAGAATTTGTATAACAAAATCGTTTCATGTTTACAGTATTTCTTGTGCAGGAATTGATGTTTCTGATCTAGCATCTGTGTTATTTTATAATCTCTGTTGCAGTAATTGATAACCATAATTTTGTGTCCAGGAATTAGCATTCATCATCTGTCGATCATTTTCTCTTGTGCAGGAGGAGGTTGCTGCAGCTTTAAAGGAAGCATTGTTCTCTATCAAATTAGCCGAAAGAGGAGTCTATGTCCAAGCCTCCACACTCGGATCCTTAGAAGCTCTTCTAGAATTTCTCCGGACTTCAAAAATACCTGTAAGTTAATTTCCTACGGTGCTATATTATCATTTTTTTATGTTTAAAGATATTTTTGGAAGGTTTGCATGCCGAAGTGCAAACCAAGTTATATTAAATGTGTTAAAATATGAACTTACTTGAAGATCCCATACCAGTTTGGCCTCTTACTGAGTGGTAGAGCAACTTATATTATCTGTGTAGTTCTTTGGTTGGAATCCGAATGGATTAGGTATCTGTTTTCTCAAAAATATTTCAATATAAATGTATTTATGCTGTGTTGTGTTACAGTATGCTGGTATTAATATTGGTCCCGTGCACAAGAAAGATGTCATGAAGGCTTCAGTAATGTTGGAGCATGAACCACAGTGAGTTTATACTGTGAAATTATTTACCTAAACTTCCTATATCCATTAATCCTTTCACATCCAGTATACTTCTTTGTACCAATATATCTCTGAATCTATCTAGGGTAAGTTTAGTGGTAAGGGATTGAATTTGAAACATGCCAATGTCATTTTACACTTGTGTTATTAGTTACCCTTTTGACTACCTCATCCTCCGGATTGGACATTAAACCGTTGATCATAGCACAATAGCACAAGTGTATACAATAGCACCTGTGTACAAAAAAAACCCCCACTTGTACACAATTTGAAAGGAGTTGGGGGGAGAGGGGTATCACCCAGTGTACTGACCACTGCATTGTGGCCACTGTGTGTCTGCTGGCACCCAATGTGTATTTTCTTATCAACTTCAACCATTCATGCATCAGCATGTGGTCAATGGATATACTCTTACATAATTCTTTATTTTAGCTCATTTAACTTTGTTGCATTTTATTTGACAAAAACATGTGATATGCCTAAATATGGTCATGATTGACCATATATAGGCACATCATGTCTGTATATGGGCATACATTGTTTTTTTTTGTTGAATTAAATTTGATAGTGTGGCCATGCCTTTAAAATGCATGTATTTATCTATTTTTCAACTAGATATGCTGTGATTCTAGCATTTGATGTCAAGGTTGAACGCGAAGCACAAGAATTGGCTGACAAAGAGGGCATTAAGGTGTTCCAAGCGGACATTATTTACCACTTATTCGACAAATTTATGGCTCACCGAGCCGAAGAAAAACGGAAAAAGCGTGATGAGTTCAAACATGTTGCTGTCTTTCCGTGCAAAATACGAGTTCTTCCACAACATATATTTAACTCCAGGGATCCAATTGTGATGGGTGTAGTTGTAGAGGCAGGCCAGCTTAAGGTCGGCACGCCCATTTGTGTACCAGCGAAAGAGGTGAGTAATAAGAGTGGCATAGTTCAGTCAGCTAAACTGGTGGTAGTCACTGTATGTGCCCTGAACTATAAGGAGATCAATTTTTAACCTTTGGTACTTGGCTCTTTTCCATCCACTACTCTCCTTGTATTTTAGCTAGAGGGCTGAAATGCGAGTTTCTAAAATGTTACCCGTAGCATTAAAAAGAAAGTTTAATTATTTCGGCCTAACAAGTCGCTGCAACGGGGTGCTTGGCGTGTACAACAGGGCGAGCTTGGCCTGTATGACAGTTATTAACTGTTTTAGTTATTGTTGTCATAACTACTAGGTTTTTCATTATTTTTGACAGAATATATTTAATGATAACACTTCTGACATTGAACATTTATATCAGCACAAGACAATCAATACAACTATGACAATTTCTTTATTTCTAGTTCACACATCTCGGTTTTGTGACAAGTTTAGAGGTGAATCACAAACCGGTGCAAGTGGTGCCTACTGGACAAGAGGTCTGCATAAAGATCGAGCCTGTTCCAGGGGATGCCCCCAGGCTATACGGTCGTCATTTCACCCACGAGGATGTACTTGTCAGCAAAGTAATTACAAAATTTCTTGTCTTTGTTATTGTAGATCAGGGGGTGGCCATAAAAATGGGTTGGAGGGTCCAAACTGAATTTTTTATTTAGCACTGAGTGTTGCAAGTGAACTTTTGGTGAAAATCTACTGGTTTCAATTTACTGCTTGCTTGCACATCGTTTAGATAAGAGAGCAGCATAGCTCAGCCACCTAAACTGGTGGCAGCCCACTGTGTGTGTGCTAAACCGTTGAGATCTCTTTATATGGGTCCTCGGTTCAATCCCCATCGCTGCTCTCCTTTTATTTCAGCTGGAGGGCTGAATGAAAGTTAATTCAGTGCACCAACTTTCGGATGACACGTTCAAGCTGTTGGTCCCGTTGGCATTAAGGCCCATGTGCATGTTGAAAAATGCAGTACAATCTTTGAAAAAGAGTAGGGGATTGTCTCCTGGGGTACTGCCCAATCACCACCACAAGGACCCCACTGGCAATAAGTCTTCTTCAGTCTTTTGTGGGTTATTCTTTGTGTTTACACTAAATAAATCCACCCATCCACAAATCTTCATACACTACTTTGGTTATTTTTAATGTTGTTTTTGTACAAATGTACAGCATCTGGCAGTAACAGCAAGTGGTTCTCTAAACGATAAGTTTCTGCCTTTATTTAATCTCCATTGTGAATTAGATTTAAATCTGTTTTTTCATCTGGTTCTTTGCAGATCTCCAGAGAGTCGATAGACGCAGTTAAGAATTACTTCCGCGAGGACATGCAGAAACAGGATTGGCTTGTTATGATTGAGCTGAAGAAGATTTTTGAGATCATATGAGTTAATTGATGTTTAAGAGGAGTGTCTATCATTCAAAGATTGGTGATCATGAATTGTAGATAGCGCCAACATGCTGTTCATGTGTGTTGTCGTCGTCATAATGAAGACGACAAGGTTTGTCAGGAAGACCAAACACAAATGCATACTTCCAACCGAAATATATTACATTTACATCTACTTCTGTTTTGTTTTTCTGAAAGATTAAAACATGCATCTGAAGTATGTATGAATACACATTTAATATGAAATGATGAATACATTAATTTTCTTTAAATATTCATCAGCATCATTATTATTGTTATTACTGCTTTTGAACTCAACATAATAGACAAAAGACTTTATGTATAAAAAAGAAGTCACAAGAGACTGAAAGGATCTTATAAAATTTAGATCTAAAACATGTTTTTCTGAAGGTTACGATTTTAGATTTATGCCTTCAAATGATACCCAGTGCTTTTGGCTTGAGAAACCCAGGTACATAAATTTGAGTGTAAAGTAGAGGGGGGGCCTTATACCGGAAGCTATTACCTGCGGATCTATAGTGTAGCCCACCCAATAAACAGGCAATGCAATGTTAATTTTGAATTTGAGCAAACAGTGCCTTTTCTATTGGTTAATTTTTGTGGGAATACAGCCTGTCTGCCACTAAATTGTACAGATACTGTACTCTGTATTATTTGGGATATTCCATTATGTGGCAGGAATATTTAATATGTGTATGATAAAAAAATTTGAAGCATGACCACAATAATGATTTCTTTAAAATTTGATATAATTAATAATCTAAAATGGTGTAATCGTCTATGCCAAGGGCTAACCAAGGTGAATTTGGTTGGGCGCAAGAGAAATTTAGTCTACATTATTGCAATTTCAACTCAGTTGTACACTTTTATTTATGAGAATTTCTTGGGCATGGAAGATTGTGTGCTGGCTGGAGTTAAAATAAATCGTATATATATAAAGATAACTATTTTCCTTCTGTTGTTTATTATGTTGTATATAATCGTCTATGACAGGGTACAGCTTTCGTGAAAAATACAGTATATATACTGCAGTATGTTTACAGGCTTGTGCCGTTATGACCGTGGATGAAAAGGATATCTGTTTTTCATCTGGACAGAAGACATCGGATGTAAAAAATTAGCATGGAAAACTAAAATTGTAGTAGTAATATGTTGAGTGCTGATGATGTTGGATATAATTATAGAAAATGTGATACGATACCACAATAAGCTAGAGCAGTAAATCTTTAGAGTGCATACCTCCACCCGTGCCAGTGGTGGCGCCAGGAATTTGCTGACAAGGGCTCTGACGGAGGGGTCCAAAACAAGGGCCTACAAAAGCCTTGGACGATGGCCTGGAATAAAAAATACCTTGTAGGGTTCACAGGGAGAGTTTTTGGCTTAATGTTACAACCCAGTCGTACGTCAGGGGACTCCAGGCCTGTCGGACAGGCAAATGTCCCCGCTGGCGCCACCGCTGCCCTGTGCCTGAATACAGTATCAACAATATATAGGCTGTGTATAATGGGTTAAACTGCAGCATACCCTCAATAAAATACTGTAATTGAATGTTCAGGCACATTATTTTCTTCATGGCGCTACAGAATACTTTCCAGAATATACTGGAATCGCCTGTTGTATTTTGGCATATTGTTTTCTTGCGTGCTGCCCGAATACGTGGAACGATTCCAATAATTTCTTTTATGCTCGTAGTTAGGAAGTTGAACATGACCTTGACCTTCTTTTCTGAAAATTGAATGGTATTTTTCTACGGTTATTATGTACCAATTCCACTAAATTTTTTATGATGATCCATTCATTCGTTTTTGAGTAATCTTGCTAACAGACAGAAAGACAGGAGACCGTCAGAAAGCACTGAATACACAAGATCTTCCAACTCCATCCAACTTGTTTGACTGGTCTACCATAAACGTATTGGTGACAATTCATTCCCTTCAATTGCTGCCCAACTTTGGAATGGTCTGCCTAATTCTCTCCGATCTTGTGATTCGCTTAGGCAGTTCAAAAGGGCCATATAAAAACACACCTTTTTCAATAGTTCTCTCACCTTGCTTGATCGTATTTGTTTATTTTGTTTCATTTTCTTATTTTTCTACTGCTTCATTGCATTAGTTAAGTTAGCTCACTTTGAATGGGTTTGGTTCTATATGCAAGCTTTACTCGTTGATGTTTTTGACTTATTGTGGATAGTCGCTTACAGTGCTTTGTGACTGAAAAGAAAGGCGCTATACAAGTAACCTCCTTGGCGGAGGTAAAATAAATACACAAGTACATACATTGTCATCTTTTTAATGAATAATTATTATACTATAATACTGTATTCTAATTTATATTCTTCAAAAAAAAAAAACATTACATAATATTTTAATGGGAAAATAAAACAATATAAGTTACAGAATTCTATTACCAAAATCTCTTGAACTAAAAAGATAATTATTTCAATAGTTTCTCCATACATGTTCAATTTAATTTAATGACCCTATGTTGTTTGGTCGGGATAATCTACTGATGGATGCAAAGGTGAAATAAATATTTCAGTGACATCAACTTTGACCCTAACATGTGTTTACATATTTCACTTTGATGCTAATCATAATCCATATGGATCTTTTCTTTTCACATCTGGTTCAATTCCCTTTCGTTTCCTCAAATTTTCCTAAAATTGTTTTTGCATTGCTACGTGAAAACAGCAGCCCTATATAATTTTGTTTGATTCAATACCTTTTTTTATCAAGAGAGTACATACTTATAAGTCAATCAGAAGAATTAATAGATCAGGATGTTTTTATTTTTTAATAAGCAAGTATAATGAATACAGACAAATGAATTGTAATTTGGTTCATTACCATCTTTCTATACCTTGTTTAGCGAACCCACCTCCCGACCAAAAATTATGATTTCAAATAAAAATAAAATTTTATTTTTGGCCTGCCAATTAGCACCACCCCACCACGAAAAATGGAAATTTCAGTTTTTCTTCATTTTTATTATGCCGCCGCTGAATTGAAATTTCCAAAAATAAGATACTTTCTCCTCCGTCTTGTGTTTCTGTTTCTGTTTCGCATGTACAATTCTTCTGGAATGACTCTCTTGTTAAGTAGGGTCATGTGACCATATTGTGGGTAACCTGTAGGTATTTTTTAAAAACTGGTGTAACAATAGCTACAACCTTTATTTGTTATGCATGTGGCTAATAATATCTCAATATTTGAAAAGATCTTTAAAAATTTTTATTTTGAATTTTGATTATTCGTTTTTTCATATACAATAGCCTTTAGTACTGTGTACAGAAGGGGGGGGGGGAAACCAGGGCTATGACAACCTCCCCACCCCCAACCTATGGTCAAGCACTTCTAAACGAAAATGTAACCCCTCCCCGCTTCGGTGCTTCATATATCGCATGATCCCTACTCCAATGTTTCTCGGGATCTGGCCCTGGTGTATGGAATGTAAATTTATTAAAAATACTTTTAAATTATTTTCAGCTTTGTCCAAATTGTAGTATAATTTCAGAAACTACTATCAGCGAAACAAAATTTCTGTTGCAATTAAAAATTTCTCCTCAAAAGCCTCTTCAGAAAAGCGTTTAATGGACTCTCTAGCATTTCGACGAATCTTCAACCGATCAGCTGGTTTAAGTTGTAAGATGGTTGCCATGGTTTCAGCGTAACTATTGACATCACTAGCCAGAAATCCAGTTGGTTGGCCTTTATATCTGACGACGATATCTTTCTTCGGGCCACCAGAATTGTGTGCGAGTATGATGGTACCGGCCGCCATGCATTCAACGACACCTACGCAAAATAAAATCAGCCAAGAAAAAGAAAAAAAAATTAATTTTAAAGAGGTCAACGTTTTTAATGTGAATACAAAGCATGCATACCAAGCATCATTCATCTTTTCAGCTTTGGACATTCCGATAGTATCTCAAAATGAAGGAAAAAAGAAATCTGAAACTGGATCAGATTGTATGGTACTATGCGAAAACAATAGTAAACGCATATGGTGAAGTGTATTTAAGGCTGAGGGCTTTCAATTAAGGTCAAGAGTTCATGAATGACCCTTGAGTAATAAACTTTGTTTTTTTTTCTGGTTAAATATTGCACAGAACTTCGTCTAAATTTACAAATTACATACTTAATAAAAATTATTGATCAAACACATATACAAACTTTTCTTAAATTAACAAATAAAAATATATATTGACATTTATTAAATATTATGCATAACAGTTTCTCACAATACATATACAAACTTTTCTTAAATTAACAAATAAAAATATATATTGACATTTATTAAATATTATGCATAACTGTTTCTCTTCACACTAATGAGTATGTGGTAGCAGTTGCAGTTACCAAGAGGTGTCAGCAGGAATATCAGACAAGTCAGGCCCCCCTGTCATTGGATGCCTCTTGATGTCATCTGATTATTGCAGTTCCTCATGTGGTCCAAAACCAAACTTTACTCTCTCTCCCTTGACCTCACAGGAAGTTCTACTCTAGGACCCTGATCAGAACCCCAAGGCAGACCCATGGTTTGGATCCATTTTGGACTAAATTAGTTCCAAGTGGGATAAAATACTGTACTAAAAATGACCATTAAGTTTTCATTGGAATAGGGATTTAGCATTCTCAATTTCCGTACACCCCCAGGTCAAAAGCAGCCTATGCCCCGGTTCGTGTGGAGATGACTGCAGCAGATTTTTGTGACTTTCTGCCTGTGGTGCCAAGTAAGTGTGATTTAAAGTAAAATGACAAACTAACCAATTCCAAAGTGCTCATTCCACATTGTGTGAAGTCCAATAGTAGCTTCTGCTAAGTGCTGTTTAAGCTCACCGAAACTCACGTTGAGCTTAAATTCCACGTTCCCTCGTATGTTCAATTTCTCACACAATTCACGGAGTTCATCTACTCTTTCCATATCCTTACTGTTTCTACAGCTACCCACGAGAACCAGACGAAGGTTACGGTACGCATCATTTGAGTAAATTTGAAGTAACTCATGGAATGCTCGGATTTGTAATTGATGATCCTTTTCGGGTCTAAATTGCGCAATTGAGACAATGCTGTGCTCACATGGTGCATCATTGCGTAATGGAATTTCCAGAAAAGCTGATGTGTCGCAAGGAGGAAACACAATGCTGGTTGTCTGTGGACATCGCCAGATATCTAATATATGACCCTCTGTCCACGAAGAATTAACCATTATCACTTCATTCCGTGCACCCATCACACCGTAAACATATGCAAAGAGGCGGTAATAGATTATTTTTAAGCGGCTTAGTACCGGGTTTCTTGCAACGAAACTTGGATTATTGTGAGCCGCTTTTCTCTCTGCGACCCGGTTTAGCATATCAGTGCTAATAGTTGGATAATGCACGTACGACCCTGTCCGACAACTTCCAATGTATTTAAAAAGCGGGATAGTAAAAGCATAACCCATGGAATCGATAAATACGTCTGGTGTAAGCTTCTGCAATGCTTCTAGGCCGAGTGCAACAGAGCCCAGACTTTGTCCAAGCAATGTGAAGTAAGGGTACGTACTCGCCTCCACTAGGTTACGTTTATTTAGGAACACAAACTCCACTGGTTTTTCGACAGTAATGTTGAAGCGCTCCTTCGCTTTCGATACAATCTCGTCACCGGTTACATTTTGATCACCCGTGTATATTACACATCGTACAAAGGAATATCTATACAAAAACAAAAAATGAAGGATAATTAACATGTAAACAATAAACAAAAATGTATATAAAACTATGACACATGTTGTTTTTAATAGAAAAATTTGCGGCCGTCTCGAGGCAAAACAACGTAACTGACATTTTTGTCAATTTTGAGATAATATCATTTGGGAATCACCTGTGAAAATTTCTGGTCTCAACAATGAGTTGTTTCTCATTGACAGCACCACCTATCTTTAAGCATAAAACTTAGAATCTAGTGATTTTCTGTGGTAAAATAACATAACTGCCAGATACGGAGCAATACAACGTATCTACGTTTTGCTTTGGAATGGTATTCAAAAATTGTTTTGAGCTGATGAAGTTTGGCACAGCAAATTCAACTGGTTGATGTGTTTTTATATCAATAATCTTAACAACGACGTATGCACAAGCTAGATAATGCATATGACTGTCCCAGACGTGAATTAAAAAAATATGTTGCCCTTGAAATAATGAACACGTCAGGCCACGCCTGACATGTTTCCGTGGTAAAACAACATATCTGTGAATATCGTTAATAACTTTGCAATAAATCAATGGTTGTAATTAAAATTTTACATACAATCATAATGTCTATAGATAATTTAGTCCTGCAAAATTTCTGAAGAGATGACAATTTATTTCCAAGTTGCAAACATGCAAACTTTTGTAAGCTCTATTTTTTTTTTCGAAAAGTGAAAATGTCAAGTTATGTTTGTTGATTTGCCACAGACACGGCCATGTAGTCAAAATCTGATCAACGCTGCCTCATCAACAACAGTTAACATCTACAGAACTGTATCTCGTGTACCAGAAAGATTAATTAATTGTGTTGCTAAATTTTTTGGTTCTTTTCTGTATCTCTATCTGTGTGGATATGGATACGGCACTGGACCTCAATGTTGAGTAAAAGTGTGCAGGTTCAGATGGTAATGCAAAGTACCAATGGTATTGTTGTTTTTTATTTCAATTTTTGTGTTTACAATTTTGTAATTAAAAATACAGTTACAGTATTGAGCTAAAAATGTCAACACTTGAAATTCGGCATGATACAAGAAAACAGGTCACTGTAAATGAGGTCATTGTGAATGACCTTTGGCGCTATACATGACTAACCTTCTCTGCAATGATTGGATGGCGCACCAGAGCACCCTCTCCCCGCCCCCTCCTGCATTGCAGTACGGATGAAAGAAAGCAACCACGACTGGCTGCATTCCATCCTCTGTTGCCTGCCATAGCTGTGGAAACTTCTTGCGTTTATCTCGTGTAATACGCGACTTGACATATACGATTAAACAGGTAGTAATAATGGCAAGGGGGCTAAGAAGGATCATCATCAGAAGAAGCAAATTCCATAACCACCTACAAAAAAAAAAAACGTGAATAAATTAGTGTTATTATTTATTTACTAATTACTTGCAGTAACTTGTAATCATTGCATGTTTAAGAAAATAACAAATTATGATCATGAAAAGGAACAGTAACTCGCGAAGCACAAAACAAGTCCATAATTGAGCAACTCACCAAAAATAAATACAGTAAATAAAATTTAAAATGCCACGACTACAGAACAATTAATGGCAATCTTCTGTCAATAATATATTATATTATTACGTAAGGGATATTCAATTTTTTGGTTCTATTTAAATATCCAGGGGGTCCGGGCCGGCTGTCCCGCTTTCTCGAGTCCCCACTGATCTGGTTATGAGCTTTTTAAACACATTTAATTTTATTTTCCTGCACATACTGTAATGGGTATCTACTGTAATGATACCCATCAGCACTGACTTCCAGGAGAAAATTGATAATAAATCAGTGAAAACATCATCATCAGTAGTGTCTTGCGACATAAGGCTCTCCACTATTTCGAGACATTTGCTTCTGTCATGGGCAAAATGTTTTTGTGTTTTTTCTATTCCATGAAATTTTGCCGAGATATATACATACATGTAGGCGGCAACTAGGGCCTATAGCAGTGATGGCGCTAGGACCTGCCCGACGGAGGGGCTAAAGGCCCAGACAGGGGGGGGGGCGCTAGTGGAGCAAATCGAGTCTCACTTGGCTGGGGTGGAGGTCCAGGGGGCTTCGCCCCCTGGAAGCCACGGATATTTGATGAATTATGACGAATTTTTATTATTTATTTGATAGGCATCGAGTTACTATAATATGACTTCATGTAGGTTATGCTTTCTAATGTTGAAATCAGCTTCCAAAACCAAAACATTTTGAATAAAGCAAGAAACAAAGAGTATGCGATGTAACCATCTAATTTATTTTCAAATCCTCATTCTTGAAAGTGAAATTCTATATTTTGGAAATTTTGGATGAAATCTGTCAACCACGCTGTCATGGTCGAGGTTGCTTCACCTATCACGATGTATTCCAACCATCATGAGGCTATCTAAATGAGCATTTGTCATAACAGAACGCAAATTATTTTTAATTAGTCTCATTAATTAAATTATTATTATTATTATTATTATTATTATTGTTATTGTTGTTGTTGTGATGAAAAACTAACACAAACAGTATGGTGGCTAAACAAATATTACATGTAAATGTTTCTTTTTTATTTGTTCAAAATTCATCGCCTTCCCCGACCGGGGGGCTATAGCCCCCCCCCCCCCCACTGAGCCACTGGCCTATCTATATAGGCCTACCCTAGACTAGGCTAGTAGTAGGATGGATTAATTTCAGAATCTTGCTTGCTTGCGAGTGCTGGAGGCCGTCCAGATTTCCTTGAGATTTTAGGCCCTCCTGCACTGGGTACAAGTTGGTTTGTACGAGTAAGCCTAGGCCTAGAATAGTGTACCAACCATCGGTACTGAAAATTTCCAGCCTATGCTAGGACACAACAACCACTGCCAGCAGGAAGGGAAGAGGCTAGCCGCTAGAGTAGAGCATAGGCCTAGCCTAGGTTCTCAATCAAAACGCTTAAAAAATTCAATCGAATACCTGTACAAAACGAACATGATCTGCAAAAGTTTAGACGCAAACTTCTTGATAAACCTTGTCATTTTCAAATTCCTTAACACCTTACACCTTCCATTATTCTACCTGTTATCGTAACCACTTTTAGTGAATATTGCAACACATCGGGGTAACGTCTGAAAGTGCGTAGGATACATAGTAGTCCACTTGTGCTATAGTATTGGATATGCGTTACTCGTACTCTTGGAATTAGCACCTTTCATGAAAATCTTATCTCTTCGGCGTATCTGTTTTGTGTCGACGCCTTGGGGGTGAAAGTTCACGGCTACGTTTTACGCGTATCATCATGCATCCGTAAACAAATTGCTGATTTTGAGTGAAGTGGATCATTCCAAGAGTCTTTGCAATGCCTAGAAATTGTAGGCAGATACAGTAGTTTTATGTGGGAGTTTTTATAATTATTAAATAGGAAGGGGATCATATGACTTCGATATGAGCGCTTGGAGACATTAACTAAGCACTGGACTAAGTAGTGATTTTAAACTGGTGGTAAGGTATACACTTCTCTTCTTAGGGTTTTTGACTGTCTCACAGTAACAAAACTGTTTTGTCCAGTGTACTAATTCTTCTGGAGGAATTCTTCAGGCTTAGTTTAGGCCTAGGTGTCCCGATGGTGTCCTCTCAGGAAGTGTACGTCTGATATGTACGTACGAGGCCTAGCTTTGGTCTAGCCGAGTCTACAGTAGGTATCCTACTATAATTTCTAATTTATACACAGATGAGACATTTCTTATTTTGCTGTCTCGCGAGGGGCCTACTAGCTACATTAGGCTTACTACAAAGTGTCTTTCCAAAAAAAAAAAAAAAATACAATTTGGCATTTTAAAAATATTTTTAAAAATTCCTTACAAATTTAAGAGAAAAATAGAATTTAAAATAGAATCAAAATTTACTTACCGGTACTACAAGCCAGCGACATAAAAAAAAAGGCAGACATATTTGGATAGATGTTTATTGTTTTTCATAATATGGGAAAAACCAGAGTAATTAAAACCAATGGCAATGGTCACACACACACTAAAAACATTCATCATTTTAGCACTTTGAAACATACATCAAGTTCCAACTTTCATTTTATTCAGTTAAAATATTTATTCGAATATACACCCCTTGGAGCATTTATTGCTGAGACTTTTATGAAGGAGGCATTTTTAATTTTTTTTTTTTTTTTGAATTTGGATGTACCTGTATACTCATATAAAATGCCTTCCCTGTAAATTCGGAACTACAACACGTAATATACAATTAAAATGTGTTATTACGTGATCATAAAGGCTTATTGATCCCAACCACATTAGCAAAAATGTAATTCTACTGGAGTAGATAGAATGTGTTGAGAATGATTTTGGTTCCCTTAGCTTTGTTTACGGCCTTTTAGTGGTAATATTTCGAGGAAAAAATAAATGCCACGGGAAGTGTTTATTCCAAATCAAGCTCTGCAGGCACGGATCCAGATTTTATCCTGACTATCGCACAAGTGGGCTTCCGGGGCGGATAGAGAACTTCATAACTTACAATGGTGACAAGTAAATGGAGGGGACGTGAGTGAAGAGAGCTTAATTTGTGGTTGTTCTGTCAAATGGAAAATAATGTTGAATGAGTATATCCAACATGGTTTGAAATTGGGCAAAATAAGCTATCGCAAACGAATATCATCGCACTTGAAATTTCAGAATTTCAGTACAAAAACTGTGTAGTTCACTATATTATTATACCACGCACAACCCAAAAAGGCTGAGCGAAGCAATATTGTTTAATTATAAACAATGAGGAAGTTGCAATGATGTTAAATATGCAATGGCGATTTCAAACAATTTAAATCAACACAAATTATGTCAGCTTCATCAACGAATTGTTTTCATTTAAACATCTGCTTGATTTGTTGAAAAGAAGATAAATAAAACGAATGACTTAACAGTTACCATGCTGTGAAGAAAGTTAATTTGAAAACTTTTATATAGACTATACAATAATGTTGACTAGAATAGTGGATGTTTTTAGTTCATTATCAGCATACAGTATCAATATAGTTTGTTCAGTATCGATTTTGAATGAAATTCTTTAGAAAATACTCCATCATATCACATTTGCATTGACTTTCCGGTCTACAGTAAAAAACAAATAAGTAAATAGCTGTTGTCTGGTCTAACACACAAGTAAAATAATGATATATTTTAAAATATAACGATACTATTTTTAAAATACTTTATTACCAATCAGGAGCTGTTTATTCTGATACCTGTACATACCGTAATGTCAGTATTCGAGGGAAAAATATCAAGTGACATCGAAAATCTGGCTTATAGTACAGTATTACACATATCTAAAATAACCACAGACGCTTGGCGGAAATAACACTTAGACATTAAGTGTTTTTATTTCAGTGTGTATGTAGTATTATTCTTTTGAATATACTGTAAGCCTATCCAGCATTTTGGTTGAAAAACAGGGCAACATATGCTATATAGTAGCATTTCTCTTCAGAAAATCAGTGTCTTCTCACTCAAGATTTCAGACTTTTAACAAAGACGAGGCTATGCATAAGCCATATGGTTCACTTTTTCTTATTGAATAAAATCTCACACATAATCCAAATAGGCTGAGCGAAGCAATATTTTTAAACAAATTATTGAAAAATTTGAGATTGACTTTCCTTGGTGCATTTAGAAATTAATGTTGGTTAAATGGATATTTTTAGTTCATTAATCAGCATAGTTAATATTGTTCTATTGATTCTAAAAGATAATGCAAAGAAATATTATGTCATGTTTGGTTGAAGTTAAAGTTGATAGTGACCTCTACTATCTTAATTGCCACTCAACCATCCCAGCAAAAAATAAAAAATTCTGGATCCGCCACTGTCTCGCTACTAATTTGCATACAGTAATATTTAGCCCCTTTCACAGAGACCAACATTGTTGTGTCTGTAGTCTGATGTAGGATTGCTTAATTCAGAGATTTTTTATGTTTGAATATGCCTTTGTGTATATTTTTTTTTTTAAATATGGCATGCCAGCAGTTGTGAACATCATTGGTTTTATTCAGTTTTCACAATCTAATGTACCAATTTGAAAACAAATTCTATTCATTATTTCTTAATTAAAGCATACTATTTACTTTCAGATTAGAAAATATACTGTATAGGCCAGTAACATGGACACAACATGTGTGATTTCTATAGAGGGTATGACCTGTGACTCTTGTGTTCGGAGCATTGAAGGGGTCATTGGGGATGACCTTGCTGTCAAAAACATCTCTGTGAGTTAAAGCTGTCCTTCAGAAAATTAGAAGTATTAAACTGTACTGTAAAAATTAGGTTTTATGATTTTCATTATAATAAATAATAAAATAGAGAATTAATGCTGTTTTATAATTTATTGATATATGAATTAGTAATTTTATATAATATTATTTTATTTAATAAATATTTGTATATCAATTATGTACTGTATCATTGTAAATATATTCAAACCTCTTTCAAAATGGGATTTTAAAAAGTATAAACAGTAAAATGTATGAAAATTAAAGGTGCAATTAATTCCACATTCATCAGTTCTGAGAAAAATAAACAAGTGCTATGATTTTCATTGTTATAATACTAATTTTCAACACTTCATAATTTTGTAATTTACACTTTCAACAGGATTCCCAAGTGAAATTTAGACTATAAATTTTAATTAGGTACGATTGACTATTAGTAGTCCATTGGCAATCTTTTGTATCATCCTTTGTCAATCAGGTCAGAATATGAGGGTACTAACAAATACATAGTTAAATATAATTCATTTATAGTATTTTTTTAATTTTATTTTAGAATAAAGTGATACACCAGTGGAAAGTATGAAACCCTGGTGTTAGGCAAGATTTTTTTTGTACATGGTTTTTGGCGAACTCGCCTCCCACCATTAATGATTATTTCAAATAAAAATAAAATTTTATTTTTTGGCCAATTAGACCACTAAAAAAATAAAAATTTCAGAAAAACATTAAATGTTTTCTTTAATTGTATTACACCCACTACTGCCTTGAAATCTTCTAAAATACTGTAAGATATGTATATTTTCTTCCTAATTATAATTTAAAGCTTTTAACCATCCCATTACTACACTGTTTACATTCACCAAAAAAATTATATTTTTATTTTCTCCTCCATCTGGATGTTTTTGGTAAAACTATTTTCTAAAATAAGAAAACAAAATTGTATTATTATATTTTTATCACCTTCCTCTGAAGATCTTTAAAAAAATTAATTTGTGAAACAAGGTATGGGTATTAAAAAAAGTCTCACCTAATAAATTTTAATGTGTATAAAAGTAAAAATAAGCACTATATGCTTATTGTAAAGCTGCACTTTTTACTTAAAAGGGTATAAGTCAGGATATAAGTGGGTTTTGCAGATATGTTGTTGTTTATTCACATAATCTACCATGCTATTATCAATCTTGTGCTTTTTATGCAAATTTCTCCCATTGTTGCAGGTATCACTACAAAGGGAAGAAGCTGTTATAAGCTTCAACTCCCTAGTATCATCAGCAGAGCAACTACGTGATAAAATTGATGATATGGGATTTGAGGCAACGCTGAAGAATGACAATCTAGCCAGGGAGATATCAGTAACTATTTACATCACTGGTATGAAATACAATTCATGCGCGCAGTCTATTGAGAGAAAGTTATCCACGCTAGAGGGAGTCAATCGGATATCAGTGTCGTTGGAACGTCAACAAGGTGTAATTGCCTTTGATGACAATCTAACCAATCCCGAACAATTATTGTCTGCCATTCAGGAAATGGGATTTGGTGCTTCATTTAACCAGCATGAGAAGCCATTAATTAATGAAGTTTTGATACGTGTTGATGGTATGACTTGTAATTCATGTGTGAAATCCATTGAGGGAAATATATCAGAACTAAACGGAGTAAACAGCATCGCAGTTTCTCTCGAGAATAAATCCGCAACAATACGATACGAATCCAACAAAATGGATCAGAAAACCTTGAGACAAGCAATAGAGGACATGGGTTTCGTCGCTAGTTTCGATGAGTTGGACTCAGAATTACGTGATCTTACAATTTCTGTGGGTGGTATGACGTGCCAGTCTTGTGTGCGTTCAATTCAGGATAACATCTCAACATTCAAAGGAGTTGTTGAAATAGAAGTGTCATTAGAAAAAGGAGAAGCGTATGTGAAATATGACCCGGTATTGACTAAACCGGAGACGGTTCGTTTAGGAATCGAGGATATGGGATTCGATGCTGCTTTACCAAAAGGTAGCACAAATGGCAATGGAGCGACCGTTGTGCTTGATGTCGTAGGTATGACATGCCAATCATGTGTTAAAAGCATTGAAGGTAAAATGAAAGATGAAACTGGTGTAGAAAAAATCACGGTCTCTCTTGAAAATAAAAACGCTGTGATTTCTTATAATCCCAATGAAACGACACCGGAAATGTTACGACAGGGAATTGACGAAATGGGATTTGACTGTTTTTTACCAGTAAACCTAGATGGAACAGACCAAAACGTGGAAATTACGCAAACAACGTTAATCGGCATTGAGGGTATGACATGCAATTCTTGCGTGCATTCGATTGAAGGAAGCATATCCGAGAAGCCCGGAGTGAAGTCTATTAAAGTTTCACTGACAGAGAAGCAGGGAAAAATTGAGTTTTATCCGTCGAAGACTTCCCCAAGTGATCTTCGAGATGCTATCGACGATATGGGGTTCGAGGCTTCGTTAGTTGGTAAGTTCATTAAAAATGGTGAATATTATAAAACACACTTAAAATGTTCAATTTAATCTAGTGGGGGTCCAAAGTTGGAAGAATCTCCTTTCGGGAGATCCAGTTAAAATAGGATCAGATAAAATAAGATAAGATAAACTTTTATTTGTCCAAACATTAAAACATGTTGGAAATTTACATACAAAATATTGTACATAGTAAAAATCAATAAAAAACATAAAATACATTTTTAGAATTATTATCACAATTATAATCATTATTACAATCATTATCATTACGATCAATGCTCTATATGATTGTTTTATTATATTTATTTATTACTACTACAACCATCATCATTAATACCAAATTATCTTGATGCATATTTATTATATAATCTAATTGAGTTCATTACAAATGAAAAATTGTGTCTGTTATTGTATGTACGCATAAATACATAGTGATTATGTAAAGGGTGGGATTCGTCCAACATAATTAAATCAAGTTTTTTCCTAACATTCTCCTCATATACTGTAGAGCATTGATCGTAGTTATAATTACAACCAATGCACCGTTGAAGTCTTAACAATTATATTTTGCTGCGCGTATGGTGGTATCTATCTCAAACTAAACTTCTGAGAGACCATTGATAGTACAGTTCAGTAGTAAAAACATGTAATTATCTTGAATTTGTATGATGTAGTTTTCCAGACTGAAGGTTTTTGCTTGCTAGTGGAAGTGCAAAAGGCTGTCCGAATGTCAGGAGACTCCCACGACCCTAGGAGACTTGGGACTAGTGAATGAAATGCAATTTAAAAGCATTTTACCCTTAAATTGTTTTGAAAAAGCACGCACTATAAATGTACAATATTCATAAAATTCAGCACGGCATTGCTAACCAACACTTGGAACACATTGTGTGCTGTTACAAAACTGTTATAAAATAGTTTCTGTCTGTGATAAATTAGGGAAAACATCAAACTTCAAATTTGAATGTCATTGAATTTGCTCATTTGTAGTCCGGTAAATACAGTACAGTATGTTCAAACTTGAACGGTTTTATTGCTAATTTTCAGCAGAAAAAGCTAGTCATAATGAAATATGCAAGTCTCAGGGCAAAATGGGTTTTGATTTATTCATGTACTGTATAATATTATAACAATAATTGGGTTTCAGCTTTAATGCATATTTTTTTTAAACGTATATAACTCATTTTTAATGCGTGGTACTCATTTTGTGATGACAACTTACATGTGTAGTTTGCTGACATCATCTACACAAAAAGAAAATATTCATGTTTTCTTTTAATTACAAAAATAAATCACTAAACAAAGGAGATGAATGGTGTATAATAACGTTGCTGGTACTGCAGGCGTACCATACAGTACCATCATAAATTGTATGTCATATCAAAGTGTTAATTACAGTAGTAGTAGTAGTAGTAGCACAGTCCTTTCTATTTGCAAGTTTTAGGCTGATCCTGTATTAATAACCAGCTTTATAAACTAAGAGAAATCATTTTTAAGAACCTGAATAGAACTCAGTTTTTATGTCTGAGAGTGTTCCTCCCACTAGGGGTCCTGGAAAATAAGAAATGTACTGTAATTTTATTTATTTAAAAAAATGTAGAAGGAAAATGGAGAGTTGAGTATACAGTACTGTTAAAATAGTGTCTTGCAGTATGCAGGAAATATACAGCAGAGGATTGGAGTCTGAAGGTTGTATTCCCACTAATAGCGGTCCTTGAAAATACATTGTAATTTTATTTAAAATTTAAAAAAAACAAGTAGAAGGAAAATAAAGTTGACGCCTGTATGTTAAAGAAGTGTCATATGCTGGAAGTAAAAAAAAAAAAATATAAAGTCAGATTGAAAACAAGTGTTGACATGCAGAACAGGGTTTCTTTCATTGTGTAATGATTGCATTCTAAGGAATGATCAATATCACAGATCGGTACTTGATCAATGATCTTTTTCCTGGAGAGGGAAGTGAATCCGGTATTGGCCTTGGAATCAATAATGCCTATGAGTTTTATTTGCTGCGCAATGACAATGATTTCATAGTTGAATTGATCGGTGCAGTGTGTATTGATAAGTTACAATTAACTGAAAATCTTTTGATCTTTTTTTTTTTTGATTCATTTTAATTCAATCAACAGTCATTTTCTGTTTTTAGAATACCAAAATTATTTTCACACCATAAAACTTTTCACCTGACGGTAACACTACGGAACCACATTTACAAAGTGAATTATTAAAAAGTAACAACATCAAGGTAATTGGTAAAATGTGAGCTAATCAAAACTAATCACCTTGTGTTTACAAATTATGTTTACAAAATTGCACTGTCTCCATATATACAGTAAACCAGTACATTAGACTTTGTAATGCCATTCATATGCCTTTTCAGGCTTCTGTGTATTTTTGGTTGGAATTTATTTGATTGATTTAAATTATTAATCGTCACTAAATCGAATATTTAATAAATGCCTCTCTGGAATCGCTGCTCCCTGTGATACATTGCGCGCTTGTATTGACACTGCGTTCTCCATTGAATCGTGTCAGCCGACCACTGTCGGTTACAGTCCGTGTTTGGCTTAATAAACACTGTAGAGATATATTCAATTTTGTATAAAAACTAATTTGAATCATTTTTTGTTTACAAAATCGCTTTAATTGGGTTAATCGTTCACTGCGCGTTTGATAATGTTTTTTGAATTGGCGTGTTATAAATTTCTGCATATTATTATTACTATTATATTATAGATATTGCGACATTAATCGAGTGTACAGTACATATATTACAACATGCTTTGAACCTATTTCATCAACTGACTTTTCAAGAAATTATTATGTGGTGACAAGTTGGGTAGGCCTAGTGTATGTTTACAGTAGCATACAGTACTCCAACAATTTGTTAATAGCAGCTTTTTTTTAATAGTAAAGTGCCTTTCTCTAATAAGCTGTAGTGCTGTACAGAATCCTCTGAAAATGTACAGTATGCGCTAAGGTCACAAAAACAAACGCTAAATGAAAAAAAAGAAAAAGAATAGGAACAAAAAAAATTATACAAAGGATAACCCAAAATGTAAAAATGTAGATATTAAGTTCATACCTTTTTTAATTTATATTTTAACTCTTTTTTTAAAATGAACTTTAAAATTCCTTTTTTAATTTATATTTTAACTTTTTTTTTTAAATGAACTTTAAAATATGAAACTTACTCTACAGTAGGTATTTACAAACATACAGTATTGCATTCTTTCTACAATGTCTTCAAATATATATCTTTTACCAATCATTTCAGCATATTTCCATTCATTATATTATTTTTTTATTGAACACATTTTCAAAATCTTTACGACACATTCAACACCATAACATTTTCATAATGTTTGTCGTCAGCTTAAATTGTTAGTTTTTATGAGTTCATTTCGTATATTAGTCTACGGTGTCATTATAGTGTCCCTTGAGACGCAGCATATGGAAATTTGTATTAAAAAAAGGCTTTTAAATACAATGCCGCCATTTGCTCCTGTCGGAGTCTCACGTCATCATATTGCAACTGTCCTTTTTACCTGAGCTTATACAGTGTAAATTTTAAAAGGCAACAGACATCTGTGCAGTAATGTGTCTCGCAATGCATCAGAGCTTATCACTAATAGTGATCACTGTAGGCCAAAAAATATTCAACGACATTTAGAAATCAGGGTGTCGGTCTGTCAGTTCATCATCAATTCATTTAAAAAAAAAAAGAAATTTGGTCTTGTATAATTCTTTCCAGTGTTCAAAACCATACCTTTTGGTTGGTAAAATTATAACCATCAGGTGTCCATCTGTAGTTAATGTGTCAAATTTAATACAGTTATATGAAAAGTGGCTTTTTGAAACAATTAATACAAAGTGAATTGGACTCCGTGGTTGAAAAAATTAAAAGCATTTAGATTTTAGTTTTGGTTGACATGCATACTTACTTTAACTGTAGAAATATATTTTACAATATTTTATCATACAAAATTCCTCAGCTTGTTATGAGTAGATTGTAAGTCTGTGCTTCACTTTATCATTGCAGTCTGTCTGTGTTTCACCACTATGTTTTATCATACCTTATGCATACTGTAGTTAAAATATAAAATTTTTATTTTTCGTAAGGTGAATAGATAGTGAAGTGTACAGTACAGTAAATATTTATGTAACCTACGTTTCATTTACATTATTTAATATTATTGCAGTCTGTCTATGTTTACAGTACACCACTATGTTTACTAAATATTATCATAATTTATGCATACTGTTAAAAATATAAAATTTTTATTTCATAAAGTAAATAGATAGTGAAGTGTACAGAGCAGTAAATATTTATGTAACCTGCCATTTGATAAGTGTTTACTTTTACTTGATACAGAAGCACTTTTGAACTTTAGCAGATATATTGTTCAAACACAGTGTATATGCAAGCAATATCTCCAAAAATTTCCTGATGGTGTCTAAGAATTTGGACGGGGAACCGAACCAATGGGTTGTCCAGCATCCTCGGTCAGGATCCTGGAATATTGGAAGCCTAGTGGTGAGGTTAATGGGAAAGATTTTATCAATCAATCACAAAAAAAAAAAAATTGTTCAGATCGGCGATTTAATAATTTTAGTCTGACCACCCTGTCGTGGCACCAGATGATGAAGGGTCCATGCTTGTCTGCTTGAGTGGGGGAGTGGGAAATTCCCATGTACCCTCCTCGTTCTGCCACTTTAAATTAAACACAAATAATCTGGAGTGTACACTGTACTTTCACATCAGTAAGTCCTTGCTTTCAGTGGTCTACTGTACTGTAAAGCTCTGTCTAGATCTCTGTCAAATTTTCTTTGACAAAAAACAGTTGTACATTATGCCCATATTCATGATGTATGGTCATATTGTGATGTCATCATGACCATATTTAGGCTTGTTACTTGTTTTTGTCAAATAAAATGTGGCACAGTAATCTGGAAAGTGATTTAATATGTTTCAGGATTATTTTTTCATCTTATTTTATTTCACTTATTTAAGCTTCAGATTTGGAAAAATCAGGTTTGTTTTAATCAAGAATTATTCCTTGGATGCCATAATTCTTTGACCTCTTTTCTCTCTTCCTTTTCTTTTATTCATTTATGTTATATTACACTACCTCGATATTTACCTACCTTTTAAAATTAAGGTTTTGAATAGACCCAAATCCAAATAGCATGTGTTTAGATGGAGTTCAATATTATATACCAGCGAAAATATTGAAATTTAATTTATGGTGGAAGTTGCACTGTGCATTGATGAACCGAAATAGCATGCTCGTAAACCACTTTAAGATTTTATGTTTGTTGACAAAGTTTTATTTTCCTTCCTTCCTTACCTTTTTGCCTGAATTTTGTCATGCATTTTTTGCTTGCAATGGACTCTCTTTAACATATTTTAAATTAAGTCTTATTGTTCATAGATTTTCAAACTTAAAACACTATTATTATTATTATTATTATTGCATGATTATTTATGGTGTATATAGATTTATTAGCCTTATCTTGTCCTTCAATTAAACTAATTAGTAGCTTGTCAACACATTTTGATAAGGGTGATAAGATTAAAGGACAATGTGATGTCTTCAATCTGCTCCACACATGGACAGGCATGCCTACTTTACTTTAATAAAAAATGTACCAAAATGTCAAATCGAATGTTGAAAATGCGTACAAGCAAATGAATACAAATTAATGAATTTGTACTGTACAGTTTTAAAATATTTGTAAGATAAGTAGATACAAGTAGGACTTCCCAATTTAGTATAAAATGCATTTCAATTAAACCCATGTCTTCAAATTTCTAATTAGTCAGAATTTCCGTAGCAACTACAGACGTTCCATGCAACTTGAGAACTGCATAAAGGTGCTTGGGTGTGAACAGTTATGTTCCTGTTTGGCCAAATAAAGAAAAACATAGTTTATCGTTCCCTCGCGCATCGATTTTTTCTGCCTTATCAAATATTTTTTAATTCAATTTTTTTTAAATTTCCTTTATTTTACGAAATGATGTACAAAAATCTGGCTAAGTCACATCAGTAAAATTCCTCTCTCGATCATTTGTGGTCGGGGATACATATGGTATGAATCATGTCTTTTATTTGCTTTCCATATGTCTACTTGGTAAAAGTAAGAAAGCAGAAGCTGTTTCCCATCGACCGTCTTGGATTTGCCATCTCAGAGTTGAAAAAAGTGCCCTCATTCACCTTTTTTTCAAAATATTAGGACGAGAAACTACTACTTTTTTTTTTACTTGGCCTTATTAAACTCAAAAGGATAGGCCTAAACATTCAATGAAATTAATGGCTTAAGAATAAGAACAGCATTTATCAACGAAAGGCCAATTCAGACAGCGTCTTATTATCCAGCCAGACTCGATGTCCTTATTTATCATTGAGTTGTGCCCATGTGAATTAAACGCAGACGTGATGAGTCATCATGCCTGCGTCGAGGCATTTCACCGCAGCCTACTACACCGTCTGAGTATACCCTAGGCATTTTAGAAGTAGTTTTAAGTACAGTATCTGATATTTGAATCTATTGAAGCATGATCAAGTTGGCCAACTCCTGCTTTAGATTATCATATTGTTTAATATTTCAAGTTTACATGACAAACAAATACTGTAAACAAAGGTATGAAAAATCATATTAAAGAGCTGCAAGGCTCTTGTTTGTGGATACTGTGCATAATTCGACTGCAGGACTCTCTTTCAATAAAAATTGACCCCCTGCTACTCTGCATGTTGGAGTAAAATTGTTATTGAAATTTACTTAAAAATGCCAACTCATGTGGTACATTAACTTTTTTTTATTACTAAAAATCCTGTTTTCTAATCGAGTTCATAACTTTCCATCATTTTGCGAATAAAAATAAAGGTAAATTTAATTTTCAGTTTCTTGAAGAGTAAATATGTACAGTGATATAATTTAAATTTTTGAAAATTATTACAAGGAAAGAACAATTTTTTCTTTTCAGATGCCCATTTAAATCCAGCATATCATCAAGGAAGTAAAGATAATGGTTTGAAAAGCATTTTAAAACGACCGGACCCTCGGAAGCGTTTCCTTGAGGATTTGGAGCTTGGCGACGGCAACATTAAACGATGTCAGCTGCAGGTAACGGGGATGACGTGTGCCTCTTGCGTAGCAACCATCGAGAAGAATTTGAAAAAGGAGAAAGGTACAGGTCATGTCATTATTGGAGTAAATTAAGGTTAAAGGTTATATATCACTGTAGTTCCTTGGGTATCTTGACGTTTCGATTGAGTTCCTTCAGTCGTCTTCAGGAGAGCGATAATAATAATAATATGTTAGACTTCTATAGCATCTAACGCCAACAAGGTCTATAAGCGCTTCACATTAATACCCCCGGTCACTGGATTAAACACGTATGGAACACAAACTTAAGCTCCCTGGGGGAGTATCCCATAAGTTAACCTTGATTTCTATTATTATTGTTATAGTATATATTGTATTTTTGCTGAATCATATTACTATTTAAAGTTATGCTTATAGTTTCTAATTTTTTTCTGATAATTTTATATATAACTTTTTTTAGGTATCGAGTCTGTTTCTGTATCACTGATGGCTCAGAAGGCTGAAATAAATTACAACATTCATTTGATCACGTCTAACAAAATCGCAAACTTCATCAGTGACATGGGATTCAGCGCCAAGGTGTTGGAGGATGACACTTCACCTGTTGATCAATATGTGGAACTCCAGGTAAAATAAATTGTCCTACTACAAATTGCAGAGATTTCATTATTATTTTACAGGATTATTTAGGAGGTGTTTCATAGGTGTATAAAGTCAGTTTACTTTGACTCACACCATCTGCTTATCTCATTAACTCTATTTGTTCTACAGAAAACACACAGCAGGAAATGGACCGCCCATAGTGAAATACAGTATACAGTAGTAGGCCTATAAAGCAAGTTGAAGGTGGCTGCCTATAATGAAATTAATTAATTAACATAATCTCATTAAATCTCATCTTTCATCTAATATTAATCTCATTAACTAACTAATTGTATAATTAATCATATCCATGTCAGTATCAAGTTCAGAAAATATCAAGAAGATAAGAAATTGGGCAACATTTAGACGAGATTTTTTTATGCCTTGTTTAGCGAACACGCCGTCTGCTAATAATGATGATTTCGAATAAAAATAAAATTTTATTTTTGGCCAATTAGTGCACCCGCGTCGCCACAAAAAATTAAGTTTTTAAAAATTTTTATTACACCCTCCGCTGCCTTGAAATTTCCAAAAATACGATGTGTATATTTCTTCCTATTATATAAATTTAAAGCATTTAACCACCTCATTACTACACTGTTTACATGCAACAATTTTTTTTCTGCCCTCTTGTGATGACCTTTATTTAAAAAGATAAGTTTGTGAAACAAGGTATAAAAAAGTCTTGCCTTACTAGTAAATTTAAACATTCTGTGATTTCAGCTTATGATTGGCTATATCATGTGTTGCATAGCTAAATTTATATCAACGTAATGAGTTTTCATATGTACAGTTTTTTTTACTGTAAGCCAATTAATTTTCTTGTAGATATCTGGGATGACATGTGCTTCGTGTGTGTATCTTATTGAATCTACCCTCAAGAAAAAGCAAGGCATCCTCTCAGCATCTGTTACCTTAGCAACATGTAGAGGGCGCTTTGAATATGACCCAGAGCTTATAGGACCAAGGGATGTCATTCAATATGTCAGGGTAAGTTTAATGCTATTATCATTATTTTTGATGGTGTGATGATTGTTTATTACAGTATTATACAATTTTTCCATTTTTTTGTTGGTTATAATTTTGTTATATTATAATTGTTCCTATTCTCATCATTGGTGTTAATTATAGGTTGAAATTTACAATCCAATATCAAAGTGAAAAGTAATATTTTTCCATTTTTTTTATTGTTTTATTTCTGCTATACATATTTAAATGTTTGTTAATTGTGTTTTTCAGGATGTTGGTTTTGGAGCTAATCTGGCAACCAATGATACTAAAAGCAAAATGGCAATAATAGACCACAAAGAAGAAATTAGACGGTAAAATTTCCTTTATTTCCGTGCAAATTAGCTACTTAAATTTACACATTTAATTTCTTTTCTTCTGTATGAAATGTACAGCAAGATAAATAGACATAAATCCAGGGTTGTAGCATAAAAAACTAAGGGTAATAGACATTTTATGGGTGTGTGAGTGATAACATTGGTAAACTTTAAATAATAAGAGTGGATTTTAAGAATGGAAAAGTTGGTTAATAAGGATGGGTGGAGGACCATGAAATTAGTTTTAGCATAGCTGTAAAACTTCAAGGTTGGGTGGTCCGCCCACCATAACTACATCCCTGAAAATCACAATGAGAGGCTAAAAGGATATGGAGTTGTGTTTAATTATGAGAAACATACTTAAGCCCTGTTGTTTTTATCAAATTATCTCTGACAAGAAAAACCCTTTGTATGCTCATATACTCATGATGTGCCTATATATGGTGATAATATGATGTTATCATGACCTGTGCCTATATATGGTGATAATATGATGTTATCATGACCATATTTGGGCATTTCACATATTATTGTCAAATAAAATTTGATAGTGTGGACATTTTTATGATTATGTATGATTCTTTGAAAGCATGATCACGAAAGCACTAAACTACAGTTCCATTCCATCATATGAACTATGCACTATAACCTTTATTCTTATTAATATATAAGCAATTACAATCAGGTTTTGAGTACACTATATGAAATAGAAGCTGAAGTAGCCAGTATTTCCTGGAAAAAATTGCCGAAAGAATATTCCACCACGTTGTACTGTAGTGAAATCACCCAGCTTTGAGCTTTTTTGCACACGAGACGCAAAAAATCGTAAGGTGCTACCTTAAAACCTTAAATTAAAGCACTGGTCTTCTTTTTTTGTGAAATTTGGATGGGCTTCTTTTCGAGGCTAATTATTCAAAGTATAGAAGGGGCTCTTTTTATTAAAGTGAATGCTGTAAAGTTTGGGAATTACTACTATAAAGCAATAAATAGGGCCACTGTAAAATCAATCTGTGTCATGGAGTACCTGGTATTAAGTCACCTAATCTACTATATAAACCAAGTGTGTTTTAATTTTTTTTTCTATCTCGAAAAAAAGACAGTGCTATCTTGATAAGAAGCCCATGGGGGTTCTTTTCGAGGCTATTTTTTGCAAACTAAAGAGGGGGCTTCAATTCGAGATTGGCTTCTTCTCAAGATTAAACCATTGGGCTTCTATTCAAATTTTTACAGTATATCGATTAGCGATCAGTGGGGAATAGGAAAATTCAGTGCAAATAAAAGTGATGATGTCACCACTGACTTATAATGTAATTTAGTAGGTCTTGATATAGCGCATTATACTGAAGTCTCAATTTGCTTAAAAAAATACATGTGGGGATAAAATTATTGCAAAAGTAATATATCCCTATACAACTCCTATTATAACCAAATAAAACTATGATTAAATCCAAATTGAACAGACTGAGCAGAAAACCAAACCTTACTGAATCGTTAGCATTGGTTGGTCGTCACATAATTCACATACACTGCTTGAAATTGCTTTATTATATAACATTTGCATTTTGTATTAGAGAGAGTGTCAGTTAATTTAAAGTTATATGAAATCCAATTATTTCTATGTATAATGAGGGATCATGTCTTTTGACATGAATTATGTGTTCAGCCAATTAATGTCAAAGATGCATGTCTCCATATAAATCCAACATAATAGGTTGACCTAGAGCTGTGGCATTTAGGAGTATTCAGGGGCGGCTCCAGAGATGTTGGGGGGAAGGTGGGGTGGTGAAAGTGGGTTGATCAAAATGACACTACCCTAGGGGGCCCAGGGGTTTTCCCTCACAAAATTTATGTTTTCTAGGCACCCGAAAATAACCTCTGAGGCGTTTCTTTTTCCTTCCTTTTTTTTAATTTTTACTTTCCAAAAGTGGGGCTAGGGGAGAGCTGGGGCAAGCCTGACTCCCCCACCTTTCTAAATCCACCCCTGGTATTGACATAGGAGAGATGTGTATAAGAGACAGCCGGGGGGGGGGGGTTGGGGAATTTTCAGCGGGAGGTACCTTGCGGGAGGTAGGGGTGCAAGCATTGATATTGCAGGGGTTCTATAAAAAATACTTGAGTAGATAATCAATATAAAAAAGTATTAATTGTCTCTCTACAGGTGGAGAAAGTCATTCCTGCTATGTTTGTTTTTTGGTATTCCTGTTATGGTTATTTTGATACATGACATCAGGCATGGAGCCAGCCAGAAACTTATTATACCAGGGTTGTCAGTGGAAAACCTTGCACTCTTCCTACTATGCACACCTGTACAGGTAAGTCACTAATATTAATATTAGTAATAATCATAATAGCCCAGACTTTATAATTCTTAATTTCCTTTCTCATAAAAAGTGGCAAATTACAAAATCGGATCAGATTCCTTTGCAGAATGATTCTAAAGCAATACATTACCAAAAGGGTAATGCGGGATAAATCATAAATTAATACACACAGTAGAATAAAATGTAAACATATAAAATACAAATTACACTGACACTCATGTTGTTTGTATACCACAGTTATCTATAGCTGCATCAAAACCAGTGCAAATTTTTTACACCAATCATCAAAGGAATATTGACACAAATTGGCACTCCATTAAAGGAATATGCTCACAACAAACCTGAAACAGCTGTGCAACTAACACTCAACACACAAACATTGAGAAGACTGATTTCTCAAATACAGTTACTGTATTTAAACAGCTGTATGTTTAAACCTCTGTAACTTCACAACGAAACGTCGGATTTAAATGATTCTTTCACCTTTTTATAACTGTCATTCTACTGTTAAACCATGTATTAATAACTAAAAATCTTTTTTTGTAAGGAGTGGCTGTTTTTGGCCTGTCTTTGCCAAATATTGTAGTTGTCGTATTTCTTTTACTTGTATATTTTACATTATACTCACATTTTATGGACATTAAAGCCATATTTTATTTAAATTAATAATAATAATAATTGTTTATTCCAGCTTTTAGGAGGCCGGTACTTTTATGTACAGGCCTATAAAGCCCTGAAGCATCGCGCAGCCAACATGGACGTGTTGATTGTTCTAGCTACAACCATTGCTTATCTGTATTCCATTTTCATCCTCATTATTGCTATGATACAAGGGGCAAGTACTAGCCCCATGACATTCTTTGATGAACCCCCTATGTTGCTAGTTTTTGTCTGCCTTGGAAGATGGTTGGAGCACATGGCAAAGGTGAGATAGTATGAGTAGTATCATCTACAATTTTACATTACAAAAATACTATTAAAGACGTTAGTATATTAGAATGAAATATGATGAGTTGATATAAGAAGAAATTAGAAGCGACAATAGAGAGATTTCGCAACCTTATGAAAACGATAACGAATGTGAACATGTTATATTCATTATCGTCATTCATGCCTATGTTATGACAAATATGCTAATGTGTTGGATGGATTTACTAAAAAAATGATGATGTAACCATATTCGTTATCGTCTTGTAAGCTTGCGAAACCTCCCGACGTTGCATTTGAAAATTATGTATGAAATGTACTTTGTAATACTGTAATCCAAAGGAAATTTCTATGAGTCTTTTTAATCCATCAAGGCTTGGTCAAATGTAAACATGATGAGATTTCAGCCTGTGATTGGCTATAATATGTTGCACAGCTAAAATTACTTCTAGAAGTTCTCATTAACCAGAAAAATGGTTTGTACATAATGGATAATTCAGTTTGTTCTATTTCAAATTTTGTATTGAAAGTGATATACAATAGAATTTAAATGTTTTGGGTTTTTTTTTCCTTTAGGGAAAAACATCTGAAGCACTGGCAAAACTCATGTCCCTACAAGCGACTGAAGCCACTCTGGTTAAGTACAACGAAGAGGGCAGCATTGAGGAGGAGGTCGAGATGGAGGTTGACCTTCTGCATAAAGGGGACGTTGTCAAAGTGTTCCCAGGGGAGAAGATCCCCATCGACGGAACCGTACTCGAGGGCAAGTCTATGGTTGATGAGTCTCTCATCACTGGGGAGTCGATGCCTGTTGTGAAGATGGAAGGTAAGACATTGCAAGATATGTTAATATCAATTATAATAATAATAAGGATTTGTAAGCACAAACATCACAACCAAAATTGGTGCTCAAGGTGCAGTTTCTAATAAAGAACAACAGAACAAAAAAGAAGCACAGACATCACAAGAAACAAAAAGGAATCAATATGTAAATAAATAAGTTTTTTTAATTTATTTTTTTTTTAATTAATTTTTTTAATTTTAATTTTAAATCTTTTATTCAGTTAGCATCATTTAGGCAAGACTTTTTTTATTAATTGTTATCTTTATAAAAAACTTTTTTTATAAAGATTATCAGAGGAGGGCGGAAAAAAATACATTTATTTTCTTATTTAGCAAATAGTTTTGCCAAAATATAAAAATGAAACTTTATTTTTTAATATAAACAGTGTACAGTAGTAATTGGATGGTTAAATTTATATAATTAGGAAGAAATATACATCTTACTTTTGGAGATTTCTAAGCAGTGGCAGGAGTAATCAAAATTAAGAAAAAAATTTTTTTTAATTTCCATTTTTTTTTGGGTGTCAGAAGCGCTAATTGGCCAAAAAATGAAATTGTATTTTTATTGTAAGTGATCGTTATTGGCGGGCTGCGGGTTCGCTAAACAAGGTGTAAAAAAATCTTGACTTTACTTCTCACTGAACTACAAACATCTCTCCCAAACCTACCCATCCGTACGAATCTCGTCCATGATAGTAGCTATGATCCTACATATTTCCTATAGGTTTCCCTTCTTCCATTTGTGTCATAAAAGTTTGCATTTTTTTTGGTAATTATCTCTGTCTTTTTCACTTCTTCTTCCAAGGAGTTTAATCCATCTCCATTAACTCTTTACTCTTATTATAATGTCATTTACTTTTCTTTCTAGTCCATTGGATTGGATTGGATTTATTCGGTGTAAACTTCAAGGATAGCCCACGAAAGTCTAGAAGAAGACTTATTTCCAGTGGGGTCATTCTGGTGGTGGTGGGCAGTACATCGGGAGACAATCCCCTACTTTTTTCCGTTCTCTAATGTGCACATGGGCCATAAATTCACACAAGACTGAGCTAATCTGCCACTCATTTGTTTTTGTAATCTCCTGATAAACCCAATCACCATCCCTTCCTTGTGTATCTGTGTGGTTTCCTTTCCAACACCAACATGTTCTTCTAATAACTTTTTTTAAAATATATTGTTGCTTGCTGTAGGCCACACTGTGATTGGCGGTACTATCAACCAAAATGGAACACTATTTGTGAAAGCAACACACATCGGGTCAGACACAACATTGTCACATATTGTGAAACTTGTCGAGGAAGCACAGACATCAAAGGTACAATTTCTCAATGTTATAATAATAATAATAATAATAATAATAATAATAATAATAATAATAATAATAATTGTCAATTTGTATAGCGCATAACATAATTACCTCTATGCAATTTACAGCATGGAGTGGGATAAATTATTTAAAATGTTATACCTAAAAATATAAAAAACAACAGTAATGAATAACAATAGTAAATATAAATATTTTATATGGCACTATATTTAATGCTATATATTAATATGTGTCACATTTATTTAACATTCACTTCAAATAATTATCTTTTCTTCATGCATTTTCTTTTGACTTAGGACAGTGCCATGAGCGGATATTGACAGTATTATTATATATTAAGATATACCCTTTGTGAAAATACCTGAACAATAATATGTTTATATCTTGCTGTGTATATTAATAAGACCTACAGTATGAAGCTGATGTTAAACACAGGAGTGTTTTTTTTTATGCGAAGGCTTCGTTAAAACAAAAGGAGATTCTGGTTGAAAATAAACAAGTGCTCGTAGTCTGGAAATCTCCGATGAGGGCAGCATAATAGAGGCAGTAGACCTAAAAAGATCTATTAATCAATCAATCATTAATCAATCAGCTGAGTGTTTCTAGAGCTTCTCATGAGGGCAGCATAATAGAGGCAGTAGAGCTAAAAAAGATCTATTAATCAACTATTAATCAATCAGCCTCATGAGGGCAGTATACTAGAGGCAGTAGATCTGAAAAAAGAACTGGAACTAATGTAAGATACGGAGAGAAAATATGGATGAATAATTATCAGTGAAGACCAAGATGAAGTGATTGTAAAGCAAATCTCTTTTTTTTTCTTTTCTCTAGGCTCCAATCCAAAAGATTGCTGATAAGGTAGCTGGTTACTTTGTACCTGCCATAGTCAGTTTGTCTCTGCTGGTTCTTGTCCTCCACATAGCGACTGGATATTCTAACCTAGAATCTGCTCACGCTTCCTACAAAGCATCAGTACGTATCATGTCTTCATTTTTGTTGTTTTTTTTTAAGTTTAATATTTTTATTATATCTATTAAGTTAAAATTTATTATTTGAATTTTATAATTTTTAAAAAATTATATTTGTATCTTTAAATAGTTTTATTAATTTCTTAATATAAAATTTAATTATTTTTTATTTAATATTAAAAATAACTTGTGATTCTTGTAAGTTCAAATTCTAAAAATTTGCTGTAAATATTTTTTACAGAATGAAACAATGGGGCGGAATGAGATGATACTTCAGTATTCCTTCCAATGTGCTATCGCAGTGCTCTGTATCGCTTGCCCGTGCGCCCTCGGGCTGGCCACACCCACGGCGGTGATGGTGGGAACGGGGGTCGGAGCTAGCTTTGGGATACTCATAAAAGGCGGTCAGCCTCTAGAGATGGCGCACAAAGTGAAGGTGGTAATTTTCGACAAGACGGGAACAATAACGCAGGGCGCACCTCGTGTTATTCGTGTGGCGGTATTCGAAAACCCGATAGTGAACTCATTGAAGAAACTGTTAGTAATTGTAGGGTCAGCAGAATCTGGCAGTGAGCATCCGATTGGATCAGCCATTGTAAAGTACACAAAAGAGGTGAGAAAGACTTTATTTAATTAGCGATTGTGTAGTAGTGTAGTTGGATTTAGATAGCAAGCGCATTTTACCGAAGGGCTTCAGGCACAGACTAGTTGGTAGAGTAAACCTCTTCGCCCCTAATGGTGACCTCATGTCTGAGCTATCTAGTAAACCAGTGTCAGCTACTGTTCTGTTCACAACAGGGGCTGTATGCTGTATGGATAGGAATATGTCATTATTTTTTACCACATCATTGGTATTAGTAATGGTACGGTCATTTATAATATGCCTCTTCCTTGCGGTTATAAAGTGCAGTTCTTTTCCCTGGTCATTGGGTCCACATGCTAAGTGTTGCTGCTAGTAATCAGCGCAGGAGCAAGTAACCCCACCACGTTCCCATTTATACTCCTGGGTGGAGAGAAGCAATGCAGATAAAGTGTCTTGCCTAAGGACACAAGCAAAATGCACAGTGTGAGATTGAAACCCCAACCTCCAGGTTAGGAAACAAAACCGTTCCCGCTGCGCCAAACCGCTTCCACATCATGGCAACAAGACCTCAACTTCTACGTCCTTTACATTGCTGTGTTACCCTGGTCATTGAATTTGATAATATTGATAGTGATTTTGCTGTGGTGCTGTACTAACCCTCTTCTACACTGAACTGCAAACAGAATGAACAGCTAGTTGTTTGAACCCCTGACCTAATGATTGAAAGTTAAAACCACAACCATATTTACCAACCACACCCAAAAAATTTATATAATGTATTTAAGCACTTTAAGGTCAGTCTTATCCTTCCCCAGTATGCTGTTTTACCATACAATGATGTGAAATATAAAATAATTTCAATAAAATGGTAATGGATTTCTTACAGAAATTAAAAACAGAGGTGCTGGCAAATTGTAGAGACTTTGAAGCAGTGCCTGGGTGTGGTTTGAAATGCACTGTGAGCGGAATCGAAGACATTCTCCTGAATTGCGAAGAGGATGTAGAGCAGGAAATGAATAACACTCACAACTTGAATGGAACTGTCAATCACCAGACCGGAACGCCAATCATTACAACATCAACAGTAGATGGTAAGCTGGCAGGTAGAATACATGCCTATATATGGTCATGATGACATCATATCATGAACATATATATTCACATCATGACTATATATGGGCATGCAAGAGTTTTTTTTTAAAGAAATTTTGATAGTAATTGGTCAGTTTAAGGTACAAAATAAGCTATGTGCACAAAATCAAATTTTATGTACAAAATTTTCATTTTCCTATATATAGGTATGATTATGACATATCACCCCTCTATATGAGCAAATCACATATAAAACTTTCAAAATCTATCAGGCACCCAATTCTAAATTTGCTTGAAGAGAAAACAAAATATAAAAAGGAAATGGTGGTCCATTCCAGAATGTCAATCAAACCTAACAACTGACCAATCAGAACATTGCAAAAAAAGCATCATTCAAAGGGGCTGGGCTTAGTGGAAGGGTCCATTGAAATGCAAAGAGGGGTTTTAAACTACCCACCTCAAGAAGTTAAGAACACACCAATTTACCACAATACTACTGATTTTTTTAAATTTAATATTTTAAAATTATTTAAAATCAAATTTTATAGTCCCATCTAAACATGGATCAAGTTTCTCTTTGTGAAACATGACCAAATATTTTAAGTTTGACAATCTTATTTCCACTTTGACAGAAAAATCTCAAGAATTAATGAAACCAGGTGAATTTTCAGTCATCATTGGCAACAGGGAGTGGATGCAGCGTCATTGTTATGAAATTCCATTTGAAGCGGATGAAGAAATGAGGGAACATGAGGAGAAAGGGCAAACAGCTGTACTTGTAGCTGTCAATGGTAAAGTCCTGTCTAGATTATCAAAATGTAACATGTCTAAATATGGTTATGATGACATCACATCATGTCTATATGTGGCAAAGACAAGCCAAACCAGTCACTCGTCGCAAATCCTGTTTTGGAGATAATGGCCAAAACATGCTGGAATTTCAAAATTTTGGAAATCTATTTTATTGCACTAAACTAACCTTTATATATCTATACTTCGTGCTATGCTGTTATTTTCCTCATTTTCAATGTTAAAACAACAATTTTTAACGATTTGGTGATGGTTTCTGCCTAAGAAATGCTTGAAATCGTAAACTTTGAAGGCTGATTTCTCAAATATTGTTCTTTAAACAGCTGTATGTTTAAACTTGTGTAACTTCATAACAAAGTATCGGATTGAAATGATTCTTTTACCATTTTATAGCTCCCATTTTACTGTTAAACCCTGTATTAATAACTAAAAATTGATTTTTCCGACGAGTGACTGGTTTGGCTTGTCTTTGCCACATATATAGGCATACAACAGTTTTTCGTCTGATGGCAATGTTTTTACTGCTTTAGTTTTGTCCTTGCTTGTGAATATGTTTTGCGAATAATGATGATAACCATGATGATGATGATGATGATCATCATCATAGTCACGTCATCACCACCATTATCATTACCATTATCATCACCATATTTATCATCAACAACATCCCATCATTATCATCACACCACTATCATCAACAACACTACATCATCATCATTAACATCATCATCAATCATCATCATTGTATCGTAGTTTTTGTTTTTATTCCAAAGTAGATTAATAATAATAATACTTATGATAATGTATTTAAAATTATTCTCTTCATTATTATGTTATTATATTGTTATCACCTTTGTCAATTTCATGATTTGTTATCATATTTATTATTATTATGTTTATTACTATTATTATAATTTATTGCAATAATCCTCTTTGCACCATTGCCTATTGTGTAATGACCGAAAAATTATTGTATTATTATATTGTTATTACCTTTGTAATTTCATGAATTAACATATTTATTATTATTTATTTTATTATTATAATTATTTAAACTCACTTAATGACTGAAACAAATAAATATTGACTCTTCTAATTACAGGAATTGTACTGGGCATGATAGTTGTAGCAGATTCACTGAAGCCAGAGGCTTTCTTGGCTGTGTACACCCTAAAAAAAATGGGCCTACGGGTTATCCTACTGACCGGCGACAACCGCAAAACAGCAGAAGCAATCGCAGACCAGGTAGGCATACCCGAGGTGTTTGCCGAGGTCCTCCCCCAGCATAAAGTCGCCAAGGTGAAGGAGTTACAGGCAAAAGGCCGCCTGGTTGCCATGGTTGGTGACGGTGTCAACGATTCACCAGCCCTAGCCCAGTCTGATGTTGGCATCGCAATTGGTACAGGTACGGACGTTGCAGTCGAGGCAGCGGATATTGTACTGATACAGGTGATTAGAAATGATATTTATTTCATATTTACACTAAGGAATTATTTAGTATCAAGTTACTGTTCTCCCCTAGTACAGTATATAATGCAGATATCATGATAACCAATCAGATAACAGTTTACACAGGATGTTTACATCTTCTTGGAAGCATAAGTACTATCTTATTAAAACGTTGCCAAGTGTGCTTCAAGTCGGGCACACGCTACATGGCACAACAGTCATACGACCGGTGCTCAAAGAATCTATCTTCGCTATCTGTGAGCACCTGACGATACAACATCATCTGTTGATGGTAGACGCCATTGTCATTAAAAACTATTTTTGCATGCATCATGTTGCTTTGCATTCTCTTTGGAATCACATCAGCCAACAACTGTCGGAGCAGTGTGTATTAATGTGTATAGATAGTCTTATTCTTCTAATTAATTTTATTTATATTGAAAATCAACATATTTTTCAATCTGTTTTATATATTTTTGATTTATTCTTCTTTGGTACAGAATAACCTGCTTGATGTAGTTGGTGCATTGCACTTATCAAGAAAGACAGTTAAAAGAATTCATCTCAATTTTGGATTTGCTATTATATATAATCTCATCGGAATTCCAATTGCTGGAGGTACTGTTGTATTACTTTTTAAAATGTTTTTTTTTTTTTTTTTTGTTATCCTTACCTAATCAGAGACAGATCCAGAATTTTTTAAACGAGCGGGCAACAATTTTATATAGGTCCAGATGTGATATAATCATACAGATAAATAAGTATACAATTGGTGTTAAGTATATGCTGTTTCAAAATATTTGTATGCCAATTTTTATTCTTTTCTGTTAAAAATAGATGATGGCAGTCAGGAAAACTGCCTCACCCTAAATCTTCCCCTGCTAATTATTCTAATAATTAAGCATAGAGGTTCACTAATGTGTTTGACATAAGGAAACAAGTATGAAACAAACTCAGAATGTAGTGTTATTCAGTACTAAACTTTGTTAATATAACCTACCACCATAAGATAATTATATTGAGTGTGGTTGAAGTCTGTTTGTCCTTTATTATTTTAGAAAGGTGTGTTGCATGTAAGGTGTTGAGTTTTCAATCGGGAGGTCTGGGGTTCGAGACTGATGCCAGTCACAGCACTGCTTGTGCCCTTGGGCAAGCCACTTCATCTGCGTTTGCCTCTCTTAACCCAGAAGTATAAATAGCTACCTGGTAGGAGGTGATTGATTCGGAATGAAATTATTACTGATTACACGCATAACTAGGAATACTCCTTTAGGAAGTTGCGGAGGTTGCATGTTGTGAATAGTTGATTCTGTATCCAATAACCACAGGAAAAAAGTGCCAAATTTAACAAGTGCTCTTTATAAATTTTATAAAATAAATAATAAATAAATATTCTTTATTTTTCTGCAGGTCTGTTTATGCCTTGGGGAATAGCACTCAAACCTTGGATGGCATCGGCAGCCATGGCATTCTCCAGTGTCTCTGTTGTGACATCATCGTTGTTACTCAAACTGTGAGTATGTTGTATAAATTACATCAAAAGACGGAAGTGGTTTGGTCTTTTGGGCGCACTAACCAATCACTTCATCCATGTTCATGCAAGAGATTCAAACACGACGCTATTTAAAAATGTATTTGATGGAAGATGAATCCTGATTATTGTAATTATTGTTGTTATTGATATTTTTTTTTATTTTTTAAAAGATTGGTTAAAGTTTTATGATTTGTAAAATAATGTATGATTTTTGTTTAATTTTAGCCATGTGATAACCATATAGGTACATCATGACATTATATGGGCATTCAACAGTTTTTGTCAGAGAAATTTGATAATCTGGACAGGACTTAACACTAAACTGGAGCATATACAATTTTAAAAATAGTAACATAGAGGGTGCAATATTTGGTGTATAGAGGATAAAATAGAGGGCGCTATATACAAATTCATTTATTTTTATTCTTTTTTTGTCACACTCATCAATTGCTAGCAATAAGATAAAATAAGATAACTTTATTATTCCACAAATGGAAACTCTTTATCTCTTCAAAACGAGATAAAATATATATATATAAGAATATACAAGAAAACAGTCATTAAGAGATGTAAACAAATGTACAAGCAAAGTGATTATCATCAAAAATATCAATGTTTATTACAATGATCATCTTTATCACCATCATTGTTACTACCGTTAAAATTACTATTCATTACCACTACTATTATCATCATCCTCATCATCATCATTATTATAATTAATTATTCTTCTTTCCTTCTTGTTAAACTGGATGATGCCGGAGGGGATAAAGGACTTGGCATAGCGATTTGTTTTCGCACTAAGTGGGCTCATTCTACATTCAATGTTAGCAGGTGTACTCTTTATGTTATATAATTTAATATTAATGATTTTAATATTCAGATACAAGAAACCGGATTACTCGGGTCTTGAGAAACCGAGTTCCCACCAGTACACACAGCTGAGAAGTAGATCCCATCGGATTTCTATAGATATCAGCGAGGAAGAAGATGTGCCAGTTCTTAAGAAGACAAAACCATGGACGCAATTTAAGAAGAAGAAATCGAAAGATGCCATGAATATGTCTTTGCTAGGGGAACATGAGGATTGAAAATATATTAATTCATTATCTGTAAAAATGGGACTCCTTATCTTATTGAAAATTCTCAGCTTAATACCGTATTGGACACTTAGCTTGCTAAAAATCTATTGACTCCTTAGGTGTGTATTTGAATTTTTTTTAAATCCCTAAATTGGACATTATAGGACAATTGTAAGAATTTCTAAACTCTAAATGACTTCATGGCCAAATAGAAATCTGTAAATTAGACCCCTAGCTCATTCATGGAAAATATAACAAGTTTGAGATGTTGCAATCATTGCTTGTAAAATCGTCAAATGTGTTAGGTAAATCATGTTCCCATTAAGACAACCAGACACTTTAGCTGCTTGAAAGTGAATTACTGCAAATTATATAACTGTAATATTTTATGTAACTATTTTTTATGCGATAAAGATAAAGTATTTATTTAAAAGGGAATAAGATGAAAGTGGCAAACATGTTAAGAATGGTAAAATATATTTTTCGCTATAAAAAGAGAAATCCCACCATTTTGACAAGAAAATAATGTACAGTCTGTAATGGACCCTCCAGCTTATTAAAAATCTATAGACTCCTCATATCTGTATAATACTCTCCTCTCATTGGACGCTACAGGGTAGCTGTAATCAGGGAGATGTAATTGTGTAAACTTTTGTATAGCATTGCTCTAAATTACTTCTCAGCCAAATGAAAATCTATAAATTGGACACTTTAGTTTCATTAAAAATTTAATAATTTGTCTTATATCTGATAAACTTTTAAGTATCATGATGACATTATAAGTATACAACCCAATTTTTCAGTTTTTAAAGATTTCTTGAATTACTGCAAATTGTACAATTGTAATATTTTACAGACTATTTTTTATGTGCTAAAGATAAAATATATATTAAAAAAAAATATGTAAGTGTTAAATGTGTTACGAATGGTAAAATGCATTTTTTTTTGCTATACTGAAAGCAAAAACCCACCAAAATCTACCATTCCGATTAGAAGCAAGATAGAACCAAATACATATTTTAAATGTGTGATTGTAGAAGATAATTATATTAAAGGTATATATCTTAGTGTTGATACTTAAATCTATGTTAAATTGTGAAGATTTCATCATCTTAATAATAATTGTTCAGGTATCATTCGGTTTTGACCTCAATACTACTAAAGGTCAATTCAGACAGCATTGTACAACAAAGTCTCGGACAGTCACGTCATAGAATATTAGACATGTTTAACATTCTTGCAACGACCAAAGGAATGTCCCCGATGATGAATCGTTTATGGTTGCAGTTGTGTCATAGAATATTAAACGTGATTTTTAACATTCTTGCAATGACCTAAGGAATGTCCCCGATGATGAATATCGTTTACGGCTGCAAAAACCATTCAGTTTAGGCGTGGTCCATCTTTTCTTTAACACAGTTAGTTGATTTGCATTTAACTGCTCAGTTTTCTTGCATCTTTAATGCAACTCCAAAATGCTCATAATGATTATTATGCATGCTTCTCTCTTGGTGGTGTCAAATGGTGCAGGCTTCCTACATCTTTATCTCAAACCTATAATGATGGCAGATTCCATATTTAAGACAATACTGGGAAGTGGCAGATTTAGAAATTCAAAATATAGGAAATATTGTCAAAGGTGGATCCAGAGATGTCCAAAAGGGGAGCCGAAATTTGGGCTGATCGAGATAATATTGCCCTGGGGGTCCGGTGGAATCTCCCCCTCGAAATTTTAGTGTTCTAGAGGCCCTAAAATAACCTCCAAGACGTTTTGGGCGATCAATCATTTTCTTCCTTTTTTTTTAACCTTCCAAAAGGGGATGGCTGGCCTGTCCCCACCCCAAATCTTCCCTTAGAGTTAAAGTCTCATAATGAGGTTTATCAGTGTTGCTATTTTTAGTCATAAAAATAATTATGAGCATTTAACCTGAGGTTGGTAACAATAGAAATATGTGGAAAATGTTATTTTGGATTTTTTTTTTAAATCAGTATGTTTGTATACGAATCTTGATCAGAGTTTGTGAACTCATGGATTAGGCCAAGTTAAAAAAGTTATGGTGTTCAACTACAGTACAATGAAAATTTTTTTTGATGAGCTAAAAAGGCTGAAATAGGTCTATCTTGCTGGATGGTAGGCGATGTGACAGTGTTATGCTATCGTTTTCCTCTTCAATATAGATTTGAAATGGTCTTTGTTGTACTTTTGTGTATTTTCTACTTTTTAAGCATAAACACAATATTAGTTTAAAAACAAAACAAAAATATTTCCTATGGATTTTTCCAAAACGTGACCAACACAAGAATTGTAATTTTTTTCCTGGCCTTATTGAGATTTTCGAATTTTGGAATAGTTTTGTTTTATATATATTTGGAGTGGAGCTGATCATAGTTTGGTGGTTTAAGATTCTTGCCTTCCATTCATAGGGTCCTGGGGTTCAAACCCAGTCACTGCAGGGTTTTTGTTTTTCTCACAACTAAAAACAGCTCCACTCCTTATATTATGCCTCAAATAGGGACTTAAATCATAACATCCTACAAATGGTGAGTTTACTTGTTGCTTGGTCTTGTCCTAATATCCCAGTGAGGGATTTAAACAGGAGGCGTGGAGAGAGGCAGGGTTTATATTGCAGTCAATAATATCGGGCAGGAGATTCCAGTCTTTAATTGTGCGGGAGAAGGAGTTTGCATAAACATCGGTCCTTATTGAATGTGGGAAAATGAAATAAACCACCTTACTTCTGTGCCAAATTTCTTCCACCTTAACTTGAACACTTGCGTGGAATATTTTTTGATAAATTAATGTGTTTGTATTCTTTTATTCTATAATGTGTGAGTGTGTGTTTAACAATACTGGTAGTAATTAATAGCTTTATTATTTTATATATATTTGTGCATAGGTGTATTAATTTTATGCAAATTATGAAACTGGATATTTTTGACTGTAGGGTATCATATTTAGAAATTCCATAAGGATCACTTTTTTTATCTCCAAAATTGTTTATTTTTGGTGCAGCTTCCACCAAACTGCAAGAATCTGAATAAAACAAACAATATTTAACAATCCAATTTTAACGCCACATGATTTCAATTCAAGAAAATAGAAAATGATTTATTTGGAATATTTAATATCAAATATTGAATATTCCATATATTATTATATAGTCAATATTTTATATCAACTATTGTACTTTATTATTTTATAATACTCAATAAAATCAAATACTGCATTAAAATATCAAATAAAATATTTTATAATATATTCAATATTTTATCAAATATTCAATATTTTATATCAAATACTATTTTTTCAAGTTTTTGGTATCAAAAATTCCGAAAATTTATATCAAGCACTTTTCAGTGTTCAATATTTTGTATCAAATATTCAATTACATCATATTCAATATATTTTAAAATTCAATATTTTATTAAATACTGAAACAAGTACACCTGTATATACCAAGAAAGAAAAAAGAAAACATTTTGGATTAGTTATTCAATATTATATATCAAACATTCTGAGGAATATAACTGAAAAAAGTACACCTATACCAACACACAAGAAAAAAAAACAACACATTTTACATCAGTTATTCAATATTATATATTAAATATTCTGAGCAATATAACTGTTTAAGATAGTATAATGATGGTGATGACATAATTAATGTCAAAATATTGAATCCCGACATGATGACGTGCATTTTGATACTTGGAGTATGTATTATACTATCTTATCTGAGAATAATCTGTGGACCTTTCAATACCTAAAATCTCTTCTGTAATTCTGAAACTTGATTCCGTGAATAGGAGTGATTTTTACTTACAATTGGGAAAAACAACTGTTTTTGGAGTACTGTAGTTTTACCCTTATTCTGTAGTGAATTTGATAAAGCTCTCCCCACACTAAAAAATAATATGTGACAAATTTGACAACTGTGCATATCGCATTAATTTGTCACATGAAATTTTATTGTGGTCGGACCTTGGAATACTGAGAATAAAACTCCCCTCCCTTAAAATGGAACATTCCAAACACCACATAGCTTTGTCCAGGCCCAAATTTTGGGTTACTCGCTCTTTATTGCACTTAGTGTGCGCCATACCTAATTTAATTGGCGCCCCAAACTCGAATTCTTTTTTTCCCCCGATTAGGCTTATTCCGTCTCTAAATTTATTTTCTCGTTGGTGGCGCTGTCCAGAATAAAAAAAATAATAAAAAATAAGAAACTTGTGGCAAGTCTAAGCTTAGTTCACATTCTCCCAGTGGTGGTTCAAGAAATTTGGGGGTCCGACAGGGTATCTGAACCAGTGGCGGCGCCAGCGGGGGGGGCTTAAGCTCCCCCCTCGGTTTGGTCAAGCCCCCCCCCCCCATCGGCCAAAGCTCGCCGGGCAGTCGGACCAAAAATTTAAAAAAAGGTCTAGTTTTCCCCATCCCAGCCATTACAGCCATTACCGCGGCCATCTAGAAGTCCCAATTAAAATCTTGTTTTGGGAGGAGGGGACACTCCCCTCCCATACCCACCTCCGGCTCAGGCCTTCAGCTCTCAGATAATGCTGCACACTATAGATACACCCATAAATACTTAGGCCACCCCACCCAGTGAGACATCGTAGGGGGGGCCCCCTTGATAAACTATATCCTAAAGCCGCCACTGATCTGAACCAAGGGGCTGCTCTGAGTCTTGATCAAGGTATACACATATACTAACCATGGGAGGCACTTCACTTTGGCTGCTAGGAGTCCTGGGACCTGATACAAATATTCTTGTTGATCTTACCAAAGATTTTACATTTCTACATGTTTAAACTTAATGTACAACTTAAAATAACCTACAATTTACATATTTATATCATGTCCAACATAAGATAGCCTACATAAAATGTTTCATATTGATATGAAAATGAATTTTTATGAAAGAGATTTGCTGCTTGTAATTATTAATATATTGCTATAAATTAAATACAGTTAAAAACTCAAAAGGTATTTTTCTTTCACTATACAGGTAAACTATAAAAAAACAAATGTTGCATGTTTATATCATGTGCAACATAAGATAGCCTATATAAAATGTTACATATTGATATGAAAAAACTCTTTTTTTTATGAAAGAGATTTACTGCTTGTAATTAATAATATACTGCTATACATTAAATGCAGTTAAAAACTCAACAGATTATTTTGTCACTATACAGGTACACTATACAAGAACAAAATAACATTCTTGAGAACGTGACTACCAACATGCTGTGTGAACTGGGCGCACACAGCCAACAAATTTACCTTCTTCTCTGCGTAAGCACTTGACAACAATCAGAACCGGGCCAGGAAAATGCGCATGTCCAACAAATACAAATATTATCCCACAACGCATGTGTGTGTATGTTTTCACACTGCTGTTGTGTAAGACCTTAGGAACAATATATATATATATATATATATATATATTTTTTTTTTTTTTTTTTTTTTTTCAACCATATTTATAGAAGGTGACCAGCGTATCCTACAAGGTCGGCTCAATTAAAGTTAATTCAAATCTATTTGAGCAATTCAACAAATTACAAATAACAAAACAATGAACAATAAAAAGATAATTTAGTAAAACATACAGCTCAGGATAACCCCAAAAAACTGAATCGGTTTATTTCCGTTGGGATCCCTTAAAAAAAAATATATACAGTATATACAACCTGGTTAAAAACTAAAACAAACATTAAAATTTGTTAAAATTTTTAAAATTACTGATGAAAGTAAAACTAATAAAAGAAATAAAACCCATTAAACCTTAAAAGTACTGTATGTAGACGTGAATGTAAAAAATCAGGTAAAAAAACAAACATTAAAATTTGTTATAAACCTTTAAAATTACTTATAAAATCAATAGAAACTCTAGTTAAACCTTTAAAGTATGTAAAAGTAATATCCATGGAATCACGCTGTCTGTCCAGTTTCAATCCCAGACTAACTATGGATTTAATTGTTTGGATCACTCACTCCCATAATATATACACCAATGAAACCAAATGTGCCAAATTTGAAAATTAGGTAATAGTGAACATTTCTACCATGAGACTGGTAACTGATACATATTTTAGTTTACAATTGCATTTGATATAATAGCTATGGTACACTATAAGCTTTTAAATGTCATCAAATGACCATTAAAATGTGCAAAATGCAAATACACAAAATAAATTCACTGGTGGATCCAGGGATTTGCAATAGAGGGGGGGGGGGCAGAGAGGGACTTTCACAGATGCAGGGTCTTACATCAGCCCCAACCAGGGAAGAAAATTTATGGTTATGGCACCTCTAAAGGCTGGAAATGAAACTCTTAGACTCATTTTTTTTATAATTTTGAAAAAAAAAATACACTACTATTCGGCTAGCTTAAAAGTATGTTCAGTATGTCCTGTGCACAAGAATAAGACCCTACTGACAGTGGCATACCTAGATATTTATAGGCCTAGTACTGTGCATGAGGAATCAGGGGAGTGGGAAGACATGGATGTAGAGGATCAAAAAATAAAGTGAACTAGCTGGCAAAAACAGTGATATTAGGTGACTTAGTGTAAGTTTTTACTGTAATTTCCAGTAGTGGGGCAGGAGTGGGGGAGGGCAAGCTATTTAAAGGGGACATGTCCCCCTATGCTGTCATACTGTAGATAACATTTTGAGTACATGGCATGGGAGCCATATTGAATATACAGTACCATTCACTCATGAGTTTGTCCATCTCACAAGGAATGTATTCATTTTTTGGGTATGGGCAGTGGCGGCCAGGGGTTCTTAAACTCCCCATCGGTCTGGTCAAGCCCCCCCCCCACCAACGGCCAAAGCTCATCAGGCAGTCGGACAAAAAAAAGGGGGGGGGGCGCTAGTTTTCCTATCCCAGCCTTCTGAAAATTAAATAAGCCAGTTTGAACTATGCATGCCTATATCATGGGCATTTGACAAATATACTGTTTTAAAATTATAATTCAATGTGTTTATTATTTTTCAAGGATTTCAGCTTAAAGTATGCTTTATTTGAGTTCCCTTTTCCATTGATCACAAGAAATGGACATCTTGATTGTTTTATTTATGGAATAAAGTTTACTTAACTTAAAAAGTTTACTTTTTAAGTGTAAGTGTAAATTTTATTAATTAAAAAGCAAACGTACACACAACATAGGTTTGGTCTGTCAGGGTGTGAGTTGTGGTGAATTATAGCAATGCAGTGTTGATGCCCTTTGTGATGCAGATGTAGTGTGCTTGATATGTAAATGTGCAGATTGGCATGCGCCAGTGTTTAAGCTGAATCCCAGGCTGAATCAACTGTCTGAAAGCAGTTGATAGCCTATGCTAGAGTTAAGTGGTGGTTTGAGCTACAAGAAGAAAATGTTACAATTTGTTACTTTGACTAAAGGGCATCCGAGTCTCAGCAGGTGGCAAGGCTTTTTGTACAGGTAGGTACAGTACTGCATAAGCAACACTGTGTGTGTCAATTTGATATTGTTTGCCTGAAACATGCAGATCATCTGGCAGAATACTGTCAATGCTAGGCCCTGGAACGCATGGATGTCACTTGTCTGAAAGCCCAGCTGAACTCTAATATTTGGATCATGGCAGGATGCAGAAACTTAAAAACATGTTGGACCTCGAATTGTATTTCATGTGGAGGCCATGAAGCGGCCACGAGTCAAAGCGGCCGCCGGCCAGAACAGCTGCAAATAACAATAGTGCCAGGAACGCCGGCGGTGGATGCTCAATTAATAATACAGTACAGTACGCTAGCTAAATCCAAGCACACGCAACATGGTCCTAGATTTTAAACCTTTTAATGAACTTGAACTTATGCATGTTTGAAACTGGAAAGGCAAATGACCACAACTTCTACAGTAGTATGCTATGTGTGTATATGTTATTGATACTTTCTTTATAACCTATTGATATACATGTGTTATTGGCAGTATTGTAGAATTTAGTTATAATGTTAAAGTTTACATCTTGTTACTTTAGGTGTTATGTGTTCTTGCACATCAGAGGCAGATTTGGGGGGGGGGGGGTCTCGCCCTTTTGGAAAATAAAATAAAAAAATTTTTTAAAAAGGGAGAAAAAGAAAAAAATTGATAGCCCAAAATGCCTCGGAGGTTATTTTCAGGCATCTAGAAAAACAAAAATTTAGCGATGGCATGCTCCCGGACCCTAAGCTTGTGTTTCTCGATCTGCCCACTTTTGGCTCCACTTTTGGACATCTCTGTCCACCCCTGCACACTTGTATAGATGATTGGTGACATTTGCCATTGTGTCAGAAGATAGAGATCATTAAGGGGCTATTTTATACAAGGCAGATACTTCTGATTTTGACGTTTATGGATGAAGCTGAACGATTAGCTGATTGGTATGGTTCCTGCCTCTTGCATGTCAGGGCCCAGGTTCGAGCAAAAGTTACGGACCATGTGTATCCATTGTATGTTGTAGTTAGTCGGGTAATGCTGGATTGTGGCTGCCGCAGGTCCTCATGGACCCAGCCTAAATTCTACAGTATTTATTACATTTGAGGACAAATAAAGATTTATTATTATTTGTGTAATGTAGTGAATGGCAGGAATATTGAATACATTTTCACTGATTAATCTAATGATTCTTGTACTCTCTTATTTGTCTTTGTAAGAAGCGGACTCGATCCTTACAATGTCAATTAACCTTCGACACAGACAGGCACAGTTCAAACTCCGAATTGGCAAACAGAAATGTAAGATAACAAATCAGTATCAGTATTTGGTAAATTGAGGTTTAAAAACTGAAGTGGTTGAGGATTGCTGAATTTTTGAACAGGATGAATTTGTTCCTAAAATTGGGAAAAATTACGAAAGATTACTGTCAGTACTCCACATATCTGGAAAGATGATAAAGTGAGGGGGTACCAGCTTAAGGGCATGCGGGCTACTTCTGCCTTGGGAACTGAATGAACCCACCCTGCAGAGTTCCACCAATTCAATCGTAATCACCAGAAGAAATGACGTTTCTAACATTAAATCAGAAGAAGAGAAGAAGAAGAAAGACCAGCTGGTAAAATAAAGTGATACGAGGTCATTTTATACTACTGTACTTGAGTGGAATATTTTGCTTACAAAATTTTCAGTGGGGTGCCTGAGGATGTGAGCTTTTTTAGTGGAAGTGTGCACAGCCCCTAAATATGCCACTCTTCATATCCATTTAATCCATCACTGTAGACCTTAAAATAAATGATTTTATAGCTTCACAACCCATGAAAACAATCCAGACGAACTGTTTCTATCGCTCGAACCTAAAAGTAGAAGTATGCTTTCTCAAGTGAAAGAACTCCACTGTTTACCACCCCGGTTTATATTACCAAATGTTGAAGTGAGCTTTAATCTCTGGTACCACCCTGATTTACATGACCTATATGACATTAAACAACCCTGCTGGTTTCATTAACTATTATTTCTGTATGCAGTTGAGCACCAGTGTTGTGGACACGAATATGATGACACATTTCACAATTTCTATGCCATTTTAAAATGTACTCCACAACACGTTTTTCCGTTGGTGTCATATCGTTACCTGTACACGTCAGTGCCATGACGATATGACTCACGTTAAAAGAATCAGACTCAGATGAAACGAGTAAAATTAATGCATCAAACGGCTTAGTTGTGGCTTGTAAGGAGTTAATTTCACTTGCATTTCTTTGCATTTGTTTTGCAATTCGCTTGACACTCTCTACAGAGCTATTCATATCAATACAGAGGAGATGGTACACTGCATCTAGTGTACTATTCTCAACCATTAAACTTTCCAGAGAGCAGGTACAAGGCTGACCTAGAAATGTCAGGAAAAGAAAAAAAAATCATGATGTAATATAAGAATAGGCCTAGTACATGACAAAACCTGCACAACCAGTTTATCAATCGTATGCGATTTGTATGTACAGTAAGTTTTATAACACACATAGATCCTTGTCATTTGATTGGTGGATTTTGCATCAAGTGACATTGGTTAATAACCCCATTTCGTTAGTTTCGCTATATTGCATTGTGCCTAGAATATGATACGACTTCAACCTAATACAATCTTTTGACTGCCTCAAAATAAGCTGGACTGTTCCATTTAGAAAAAGGGTAGATTTTTTAAAATAAAATATAAAATGACAAGAATTTCTATTCAGAAAAAAGGTAGATTTTTTTCATAAAATATCAAAGGACAAGAATCTATTTAGGTGTGTTATAAATCAAAAATGAATATTTTTTTATTCGGCCAATAGAAAAAATATTATCATTCGTTGAAAGATTGGCTGGTCAATTCAAATCGGCTCCACCTCATTGAATGGAACAGTCAATCTTTCAACTCATGACAATATCTTCCCATTGCGCTCATAAACATTAATTATTTGTACTATGCTTCATATGTATGAAGCAAAGTACAGTGTTGCAATGCACACATTCTATTTAAACAGCTTTAACAGTAAATTGTATAAGCAATGTTCTGCAACTCCTAAAGTTTGAGCAAATTGAGATGCCTTGTCTAGCATTTTGGTTATAACAGGTGTTACACACACATTTGCGCTATGACGCATTGTTTCCGACGGTAAGCGCATCGTTACCGACGCAATCCCTGGACCGTCGAACATATCCAGCAAAGAATGAACTCCAGTAAAGGATAGACTTTAAAAATTAAAGAGTACCACATTTTTCTGTATGAAGTAAATTTAAGTTTGTTTTTTTGTTATAATATACACTTACTTGGTACAGTGATGTCCAAACTGTGAATCCAATTTATCTTTTTGTTAATTCCTTTACTGGTGCCTAATTTGGCACAAAAAGAACCACCTCCAGCTGGTAGTGATATTATCTTCATATTTCCTTCAAACTGTTGCCATGCTTTTTCGTCCACAATTTTTTTCTGGGAAGTGGTATTTGTTATTGTTAACCACAACCGTTGGTTTGGAAATACTCCCTCTGCATTTTCACACACAATATTCAGATGCCAATTCCTCGGATCTACCATGAACGTTTTTAACTTTAAGTTGGTTCCACGTCGTGCTAAAGCAGAGAGATTTTAATAATTTAAAGCAAAATATACACATACTCAAAGTCGAAGCTGTTGGTAAACTCTAAAAAATAAGAGTGAATTTTAAGGATAGAAAAAATGGGTTAATAAGGGTGGGTGGAGGGCCATATAATTAGCTTTAGAATGGGTTTAAAAACCTCAAGGCTGAGTGGCCCCGCCCACCATAACTACATCCTTGCATACTTTACCATTTTGAAAAGCAATTATTTCAGATTTATCAAATTATTTAAGAAATTTTCTATATTAATTTAGTTGAATAGAAAGATGATTGCCTTCCAATCCCAGGGTCCTGGGTTCAATTCGTGTCATAGTAACAGGATTTTTTCTTACGACCAAAAACAACTGCACTCCCAGCCTCATAATGAGGCTTAGTTTATCTAGAGCACATTATGATTATGTTTGTCTCTTAGTAAAGTGATTAGCACTATTAGCATATCCTTGGCCCTGAGCCTAATAGATAAATAAATTATAATAATAGATAATAAATACTATTATTATCATCTATTATCTATTATTATTATTAGGTGAATGCTAGCATCACCTGTTGTTTTTATTTATTTCTTCTCTTTATATTCTTTCTCCCCGTTTTTGTTCGCAGCTTTTCTGAAAACGGCACGGGCTATCTTACACGGCCTGCATTTAGATCTACATCTGAAGCTGCGCAAAGTATCTTTTTGGGTGACGTGACAGTCATGTGACATCATCTACGTGTCATTTTGTGAAATTCTATGATTGATCAATTCCTCACCAACAGACATTCTTCAATGAAACTTGGCACAAGTAAACTTTACTTCATATCAAGGGTAAACTTTGCGTGTCATCACTGTCCGTGCACGTGTCATGATGTACGTGTGCACACATTTTCAGGCACACACTACTGAAGCTAAAAAATGTTTTTTACATATGCTTGGTTCCAGACACTTTACTCACAAAGTTTAATTCCTTTTCTGTAATTTTATGGCCGAAAAAATGCCGTTTCGTGCATCTAACATTCAAATTCATGTGCGCATTTGTGTCGACATGCTGACACTGTATTAACAAATTTCCATGTTTTTTTAAATTTCTGGTTTGATTCTGATACCAACAGGCTATTTCAATGATCAATCATTCCAAAATACAATATATAATTACAATTGGTGAGATCTTTAGCTATATGAAAACAGAGCAGCAGACGATGATGATAATGTAGAAAACAGTTCTATCGTGTTGTGTAGGATATATTCTTTAGGCTCTTGGAGAAAATATAAAATAGAAGTACAAGTTATACTTGGTCTGTATATAACTTTCTCCATTTGGATGTCACATTTGTTTGCCATAATTTTACAACATGCTAAATACAAATAATTAAAATTTTAAAAGTGTTTATCAGGCTTTCAATGATTTGGCTATGATAATAACAACTTCATAATTTGTTGGATAAAATAAACTGAAAATCCAGTACTTACTTGTAAGTGCAACGTACTTATGATGCAATTTGTTTCTGTATTTAATCACGAGAATAAGTATCACTAAAAAAATCCCAACACAAACAAGACCTATGATGACTAAGAATAAAGAAATCATAAATTAATATATTACCTAATCCAGAAATGATATATTTACTATTTGTTACTGTTATTAATTTTAAAATACTCAAATAAAACAAATTATTTTTGTTATTATACTTCATACATCACCAGTAGACAAAGTTTGCTGTCATCCCTCATTGTTAAGACAAAAAAAATGTAGTTTGGCCCCTAACCCATTGTTTGTCTTATGCCCACTCCTGCTATAAATGTTGGGCTTAGGGGATTGTAAAGTTGATTGGTGCAGTGTTACAGGTTCTTGAGCACTATTTGTGCTTATTATTTTTTTGAGAGCCACACGCATACTTATACGTTTTATGGTTAAAATTTTATATTTCCAGTGTGTTTATGAAAAACTTTAGACGCACCGTTTTTTTACCGCTTTATGCTCAGATTTAATATTCTCTTTACAGATTGTTGACACTGAGACGCAACAAGGGCTATACACACTTACGGTTGTTCGCAGGCCACTACAAAGTCACCTTCAGGTCGTATATGTGAGGTCTCACCACGAAATGAGATGCATCGTTGGTGAAATTATATTGAGACATTCACCAAAACAGGCCAAAGTCAACATTTTTACAAAATTTTGATTTTAATGTTTTTGAATAACTTGTTACTTATATTTTATGATTGTGTACTTTTTCTTGCCAAAACAGTGTTCTCTGCACATATTCTGTAATTCTAGTCATATTATTTGTACAGGTTAGTTTACCTTTGAGGCTGATTTTCTCAAAACTTGGTTCTATACACCTAAACTTTAAATGTTCACATCTCTGGATTTACTTATAGTAGGGAAGCCATTCAAAGACCAAATGAAAACTTATCATGTGATCTACCCCAATATAATATAAACTCAATTTTTGAATTTCTAACCATGAGACTCATTTTGTGGCGAGACCTCACATATGGCCTGCATGGCCTACACACTCTGGCCACCTGTCGTTTGTAATGTAGGAGCTTTGACTAATGTAATCATATTGCCGCTGGTTGGAACAACAGGCTTACCTATGGTTCTGGAACAAGTCTTTTTGGATAAGGACTATAAACTGTAGATCCAGTGTACACGACTGGCTCGTGTGCACATAAAAGAACCCAGTATATTTTTGAGACGAGTAGGGGCAGTGATCCCGCCAGCTATGGCAGAAACTGTAGGTGCAGTAACTGTGAACTCGGGGAACAGAAGTCCCTGGTCGATGCTAAATACAGTAGTCGGCTGGATTGTGGGCACCATTCAGTACCGTACATTAAGCGTGATGATTGTAATATTCAGTGAAGCATCTTTTTTTTTTTATGAATGGTGATTAATAAAACTACGTTTAATTGAATTTACATGAATTTCATTTTTTTTATACTGGATTTTGGTTGGGTATTCCAAGAAGACTCTACCATCATTGCCTACCCAACAAATTTTATTGACAACTCACGAAGACCAACTGTAATAGAAAAAAGTATACCACGATTGAAAAAGGACGGTTCTGAACAGGCCTGAACTTGTTTATCCACGGACTATGTGGTCACCTTCAAGCAATGGCTCAAGTTATGCTTATGTCATCTGCGCAAAACACTCGACCTCAAGATAGTTGTACTGTAGTTTTCGTATTGCACAGACACCACAGTTCAATCAGTGATAAATAGCACATTTTGTTTGAAGTCAAGTTATTTTTTTTAATCTAAATTTTAGTAGTCAACCAGTAATAGAGGACCAGTAGATAGTACCACCACTGCCTAGAAAATCATGATTAACCAGCCGTTCACAAGCATAAAAGTAGGAATAGGCTAGACCTGATTTTATATTCAGGCCAGCATGTTACATTGACTAACCATCACATTTTAAGTATATTTGTGATGTGGTGAGTAAATTCTTTTAATCACATCAACACTTGTAGCGAAGTATACGCATATCTGCATATACAACAGTCTCCATCTTGTAAGTATTAGTTTTGATGATTTTTTTTCAGTTTATTTTAATCCGTAATTTAAGTGTATATTGTTTGCATTAATAAATAAAGTTGAAGGTATCGAGTAAATGAAATATAAATTTTGGGACATGGGTCACTATAAGTAGTTCAAAAATGGCAAGCACAGTATACACCCATTAAAATTTTGCGCACCACCCTTCAAATTTTTTGGACAACATTTTCTGACATTCCACCACTCTTTCAAAAAAGCCTGGTGAGATGACTGAGGGGGTTAGCCCGGTGTACACTGGTCCATGCAGCCGTGCTGTGTACAGACAAGCATAATTGGTACTAGTTTACCAGGTAGCTCACATAGGAAGAGACCCTTTAGGTGAAGAAAGTTAATGAAAGAGCTCACATCGATCGCTTTGAGACAGTTTCGGTGTAAAGCACTATGTAAATCCAAATACATAACATGCATATTGCATACAAACACCAGAATTTGGACTTTTTGGGAATAGTACCCATAAACTGGAAGACTGGAAAAAAATCTGCAGCAAACACTAAGCTGAGTATCATGACTGGCTATGATTGAAATTAACTTACGGCCTATACGTTCTTGGTTTCCAGGTGATGGCGAAGTGGAAACTAACTCTGTTGTAGTACCTTAAAACGAATATATAAACAGTTGATTTAATTAATGTATACAAGAATGTTAACAAATAATGCTAACAAATTATTACTAGCTGCCCAGGAAAAGTTTGTGTTTAATGGTGTTTGCCTGAATAGCGTACAACACTTTTTTATGATGCAATATTCCTACTACTACTGCTGCTCGTATTTGCTATTGCCTTTACTGTTCTGTAGCTAAAAATATGGTATATGGCTAAATTTGCCATTCTTCTGTGGGTTATTTTTAAACAGAGGAGCTATATGTGCCTGGTTTTATATTTTATTATAATGATTTATTGGGTTACATCATACAGAGCTGTAGCTAGGATTTTTATGGGGGTGGGGGTTGTTCACTGAGAGGGGTTATTTTTGGTGGTTTCAGAAATAATAATAATAATAATTGGGGATCTGCTAAGTTAAAGGGGTCCACAGATGGTCTGTGAAAAATGGGGGTGATGTGTGTCCATAAAAAATTTGGGGGTCCACTAGATTATAACAATTTTTTTTCATGATTCAATTATTTTTTTCTTGTCTTTCAGTGTGATCATGCCTTGACAATAATAAAATACCTTTGAAAGGCATACACTTTAAATTGTTAACTGGCATTATATTAAAATTCCAGTAATTTATTACTGATCTGATAGTATTAATTTTTTTAAATGTATTTTTTATGTAAAGATGTTTAGTATAGGAAAGCCACTGTTTTTTTTGGGTTTTTTTTGTATTGCTTTTACTTGGATTATTGAATAAATTTCAAAAATTAGGAGGGAGCTCTAAATTAGACAATTTAAAATAAATAGGGGATAACAGAACATTACATTCAAATTCGAATTGTCATTTCCAGCCACCTAGAAGTGCCATAACGATAAAAATTTTTGTACCTCAGCCGTAACTATGGTTGGGCTGAGGTAGCATCCCCATCTGTCAAAAAATCTTTCGTGTGCACCCCCTCCCCTCCTGTATATCGAATGCCGAGATCCAAGATGTCGTAATTTGGCGAATCATCTTCCATCCATTATCTTATTGGTGGAATATCAACCACGAGTCACCCTAATTTTTACAAATTAAAAATTAAATCAAGGGTAAAAAAGAATCAACTTACAATTTTGAGTCTGACCTTGTATTTCTGGCCATCTGGAAGTGCCAGTCCAGTGTTTTCCAGTTAGTGTATCATGGTTTATGACCCATTAAACTGTAAATTATATCATTGAGTGAGGCATAGCTAGTTCAGTTGCACTACTGTACTACCTCCCTGAATTGGGACTTACCTTCCGGACCATAAGTTGTAGTAGGCTGGGACATTGTGGGTTGGGTCGCTGTGGGTTGGGGCTCTGTTTTTGGTACTCGAGCACAGTCAATTGGTTCTTCTCCTGGAATGGGCTGAACACTATAGACACCACACCATCGTGGGCACGATTCAGATGAATAACACGCATCTTTAAATTGATTCCCAGCATTAAAAGCTGAAAGGCTACAATTTTGGCACGGTTCACAACGATTAGATGAACCTTCACGATATTCGCTGAAAAAAAAAAACAAAAACAATAACCAAATAGCAATGATGATGCTGATTTTGTGCAACAGTTTTCATTCTGGTCAGGGATTTCAACCCAGAATGCTTAGATACTGTACCCCGCTGGTTGCTAGGTTTTCAGTCTTAGGTGCAAGCATTTCATGGCATATTTTTTTGTTTAAACAGCCCCTAGAAGTGGCTACTGGGCCTTGTTTAAGGTGACTCAATGGCTGATGGGGGGGGGGGCATGAAGGCAAAGTGTAGGACTTAATGATTAGGTGAGAGGGGCTCTAGAATGCAAAATAAAACGATTTAACTACTGAGAACTAGAGAGTAACTTTTTTGCTTTGAACATTTTTTTAATGGAGGAACAACTTGAGGGGAAAAAGTATTTTTAGGAATGGGTGGACACTCCCACACCCCTCTTTCCCAATGAGCACCCATCCTAGATATGCCACCTAGGTGAGTTCAAGAAAATAGTAAATATAGAAGAACAATAAAAATGATTAAAACCATATGATAATGTTTTTATAATTTCACATAACCATTTCTGAGACTGGGGTTTCCATGGTCTTCATCAGCTTTAGTTTCTAATTAGAGTAAATAGCCTACAGATAAAAGACTTGTTAATTTGGGATCACAGAAAAATGGTTTTTAATTACAGGTTGTCTTTAATTGTGGCAAAGACAAGCCAAACCAGTCATTCGTCGGGAAAAATCAATTTTTAGTTATTAATACAGGGTTTAACAGTAAAATGGGAGCTATGAAATGGTAAAAGAATCATTTAAATCTGACAGTTCGTTATGAAGTTACACAAGTTTAAACATACAGCTGTTTAAAGAACAATATTTGAGAAATCAGCCTCTTAGGCAGAAACCGTCACCAAATCGTTAAAAATTGTTGTTTTAACATTGAAAATGAGAAAAATAACAGCATAGCATGATGTATAGATATATAAAGGTTAGTTTAGTGCAATAAAATAGATTTCCAAAATTTTGAAATTCCAGCATGTTTTGGCCATTATCTCCAAAACAGGATTTGCGACGAGTCACTGGTTTGGCTCGTCTTTGCCACAATAGAGGGAGACCTGTAATAAAAATAATAAACAAATATTGTGCTTGTATTTGACAAAGGTGCTCATAGCATTTGTATTCTCCACTTCCGGCGCGCAAAGACTGGCAGCAAAGTACCGTTGCACAAGCGCAGACATGTGTGCTATAGACCGTCATAAATCGTCTTGTCTTATTCAAGTCAACTGAATTAAAATTATAAAAGAAAACATGAAAAATTAACTTACCCTGCATCACACTGAACTTCCTATAAAAAAAATATAAATACAGTGTCATAAATTTTGTGAAAAGAAGGGAAAAACAATAGAAAAAGAAAAAATAATTAAAAAGGAAGAGGAAGGGTTAAGAAATAAAAAGATAAGGAAGGAAATAAAAAGGGTAAAGAATTAAGGAAAATGAAAGAACAGAAAAAAGGAGTGAAAAGCAAAAGAAGGTAAAATGAAAATACAGAAAAAGAATAGAAAAATAAGAGAAAATGATATTATGAAATAAAATGAACTTAGATTAGAACTGTATTCAAATGAATTGTAACTAAAATTGTAATTAAAATAAAATTAATATTATTAATATTTTATTCTAAAGTAGAGTAATTTCTCATTTTAATTTTTTACCGGCATTCCCAGGAGATTGCTAGGACCTAGGTAGGCTTTACATCTTTTTATGCACATTCAGTCGGAGCTGCAATAATATTTTTTCACATACCACCAAAAAACGGCAATGACCTTGGAAAGCCTAATGATAGGCCTAGGCAAAGGTAGGTAGTCTGGGTTCGGCTAGTTAGTAATAAGTAGTAGGCCTAGGTCTAGTACAGTAGCTGAGTAGTAGGTTTAGCCGCCTATTTATAAGCTAGACATAGGCCTAGGTAGGCTACGTTAGTTGCTGTAATTTAATTTAATATTAATTGATTCAAGTCAATGTCAACCGATTTTAACTAAAAACTGCACAATCTCACAAAGTTGTCTTTATTTACCGTCATTATTGCATCTGCCGAACAAAGGTAGGCTACTAGCTCTGGCAGACTCGGGTAAATCTTCCGTTCTTTCTATTGACAGGCTTACTAAGGCTAAGCTAGGTTAATCCTCTCTGCAAATTAAAGCAAAGTCTGTGCTTAAAAATTGCAGCTCTATGAATTAATATAATTATATATTAATATTAATCCTATTTCGTATGGTATCTGCTGTCAACAGTCACTTTGGCTTTCTCCTTGTCAAATCACAAACAACTTCCGCAGAGAAAAAAAATTAATGCTTATGATATGACAATTCACATACATGGTGACTGACAGAGTGGCCTTATATATATACAATTTTATGCCGTATGCACACATATTCTTTATTAAGTAATTATTATATGATACCTACAGTCCTTAACAAATATTTGAAACATCTAAGTAAATTTGAAACGGAAAGAAAGGTAACGATATTAAATTTAAAATGCGGGAATATTTTGACAGTAGGCCTATTCAGTTTTTAATAATGTTACATGTCAGAGGTTGAAAAGCGTACAAAAAATCCGGGAATTCCCCTTCCTCTGCTATCGCCATGTATGTCATTGTTATGTTGTGTTTTGCACGCATTCCATTGGACTTTTCAAGAAACCAGGGACGTCCGGCCTGATATAAATTAACCTGATATTATTAAGCTTGGAATTATTTCTGAATGAAATGTTATCTTATACTGTAGGCCTACTGTATTCCATTCAAAAAAAAAAAAAAAAAAATTTTATTCCATTAAAAAAAAAAAAAAAAAAAAAAATTCTAGCCCTACCTTTTTTCAGGACCCGTGATTAGCTAATTTCCCGCCATCAGGAATCAACTTTTCCCGTGGAAGACCCCAGTGGCGTAACATGCTGGGGGTGGGGGAGGGGCAGACTACTGGGTAATAAGAAAAAAGAAAGAGGGGAGAGGGAGGGAAAGAGAAAGATGAGGAAGAGAAAAGGAAAGGAAAAAGAAAAAGAGGAGAGAAAAATAAAGGCAAATAAAAAGGAAGATCATAGGCCTAATGACCAGACTCACACAACACCTTGCAACCTCTTCTACACTTAACTCCTTTGATCTAAGCTGCCAGATGGCGTAGGCTACCACCGGGGAACAAGGGGAAAATATCTTTGGAGAATCTTTCCCATCCTTTTATCCCCTGAAAGTGCCTAACAATTTCAAATTTCGCATTTCTTGTCAGAGTAGGCAATTTCCTCTAAAAATTGCACATTTTAGGGATTTTGGATCAATTTTCCGACGAAATTAGAATTAAAAACACCGGGGGACAAGGGGAAAATATCCATCTTTGGAAAATCTTTCCCCACCCCTTGATAAATGCCCTTTTTCATCCTCTGAAAGTGCCTAAAATCCTCAAATTTCGCGTGCAAATTCTTGTTGCAGTAGGCCAATTTCCCCTAAAAATTGCACATTTTAGGGATTTTGGATCAATTCCGACGAAATTAGAATTAAAAACACAAAAACCTTTTGCGCATTTATTGGGGTTTTTTAGGGTTATCCTTTTAAGTTATTTAAAACATAATAGTCACAAACTCGAGAAAGAGAAATTTAAGATAGATCGATATTAACCTAAAAAGGGCCTCAATGTGTATTGATGGTGAAAGAAAATGTTTGTAATAAATGAAACCATGATGAAAATGCTTATATTTAGTTTCAAACACAAGTGTGTGGCCTATATTATAAATAAGATAAGCCCTATGTCGTATTGTTTTCTATATGGGGAGGGGGTGGGGTGGGTATGATAAATTACTAACCGGGGAAATTATTACCTTTGCCCCCCTTGACCCAAGACCCCTGTTACGCGCCTGGAAGACCCCGACCCCTTCTTTTTGGGATCGACTCATGGAAAAAAGAATACGGTAGGCCTACGTATGCAAGGCCACATACTAGGCCACACATAGGCCTAGAATGAGAAAAATTTTCAACCTCACCGTATTCAAGAGGGAAACCTTGAATTCTGAAGAACTTTAAAAGTTTTAAAAGAAAGCTCATTTTCCCCCATCAAGGATTAAAAATTTTCCCTGGGAGAACCCGGACTCCTCTTTATCTTTGGGGTTCATCGTCATTGGAATCGTTTTCAAGAGGGGGATAAAAAAAATTTTTTTTCAAGAACTTGAACATAAGTCGGGAACTATCCCGCCATATAGGAATCAAATTTTTCCCGGAGAAACCCGTTCTCTGAAGGGTTTATTCATGGAAAAACGAACAGACAGTGGCGTAAACGCCTAGCGCTAGCTCTCGTGCCCCTACTTCTAGGGGCCCCGAAGGCGCACCATAACCACATATGGTCCTCGATCAAGCACCCTGACCTTAAGGACTTTTCTGATACATAACATGTGTCGCTGACATCGACTGTCATATCATATTAAATATCCAGTGGCGAATTAAAGGACCCCAATTTTTTTTAATTTAAAGCCTGTGAGTGCTATTTCCGGCCATATAGAGGTGCCTTAATCATACATTTTCTTACCTTCCGGGCCCAGTCCCCATTTTTTTTACGGGGGGGGGGGGGGCGCGGGGGTGTAAACATTTTGACTCCCACACCTAACTTTGAACCTAGAGATGCGCCCCTGTATTTTTCCGACTGTGTGTTTGATTAAAGATGGCATGAGGTAACAATTAAATAAATTTGTACTTAAGATCTTGAGGATAGGGCCGGCCAACTGTGCGTGGCCGGGGGTCTTTAGAACGATTGATACATTCCCTCTCTATAACCATGCTATAACGTTCCTCTGAATGGAGAGGGAATAAATTCCTAATGGATTATTCGGGCTAAAGATTTCGCCGTGAAATGGGCAGTGGCGTATCTAGAAATCTTGTAGTGGGTGCTGATGGGAGGTGCGTAGGTGAAGTTAGTGGGGGGAGGGTGATGGGGACTCGAAGATCAGTTGAGGGGCGCTGAACTCGCAAAATAAGGTGATTTTTTTGGGGGGGGGGGCCGACTGGGGGCGCGAGTAAGAGCGGCGTACGTATAGCGTAGCTGAAAGGATGCAAGGGACCCAAGGTGCAGATGGTGCGATCGCACCGGCCTAAATTGTATTATGAAAAATAATTGTTGTATTGTGTTGATATGAATTACTGTACCGGTAAAATGAGAGTGCAATTCAGGGCACCTAGCTCGAGGTCCATATAGGCCTAGGCCTATTCTAAAAATCTTCGAACTGATCAGCCCCGTCTTCGAACCTATCGCCAAATTCTGCGCATCCGCCCCAATGTACAGTAGACATAATTTAATTCGTTTTTTGGTCATTTTATGTCTCCGATAAAGCGTAATAAATTAAAAATTATGCCATATGAAACAAACCAATACACGCACGCTATTGTACAAATGAATATTCTAAGAAATTTGAAGGGATGTTTAATGAAGAAATAATCGTAAATCGAAAATTGCTTTAAATTGCCTTTAATATGCCTATAGGTAAAAATATCGTTTTATTAAATATCAAACAAATATCAAATATTAAACAATATAAATACCAACAGAAACTATTATTTGAATAAGTTTGAACTTTAACATTACAGGTGTTATTAAAACGTTTTGAGCAATTTGTCTTGTGTCCCAGAAATTTGGCCAATAACGCGAAAATTAGCCCGTGGCGGCGCCAGAAATCTGAGGGGAAAGTGAGGGGCTAGGTTAAATTTGGGGGGGGTAAGAGACAGGAATATATGCTGGGGTGGCCCAAAGTTGGGTGTCACTCAAAATGTCTTGTTAGTGGACCAGGAGGTGAAGTCCCCGAAAAATATTACAATTTAGGGGTTTCAGAGGTTTATGTAATCGATTTTATAGATAAGATAGTCTTGTAATATGTAGACTATTCCTCAACTGACGAATTGTGGTTTTTCTTCTTTTTGGGGGAAAACGGGGGAGGGGGAAAATGCCAATCCCTGCGGGCCCATAGGCAGGTTCTTCCAAGGGGGAGGGGGGTTTCTGGGCGTAAACGGTCCACAGTCAAAAGCCTCGGTGGGGTCGGCGAAACTCCCAAAACAAGAGGATTTTTGTGCTTTATGGGCCAGTCTAAATAATGCTATAAAAGCAGATATGTTTGAAAATGTCAGTTGGGTTGGAGGACTTACTTAGGAAATTTAAAGAGGGGGTTTCGCCAGAAAAAAAAAAGGGGAAGCTAGAGCTGATCGTAGTTTGTTGGGTAAGATTTTTGGCTTCCATTCATAGTGTTGGGGTTTATACCTAGACCTTGTCGCAAGTCTCTAATTTATTGATTTTTCGTAGTATTAGAACATTTCGGAAAGCGCCACTAGCGTCAGAGAAACTTTTTGATGCCTAATCCCAGAAAAAGTATACTATGGAACGCCATGCAAATTAGTAATATGGAACGCCATTGGTGCCAAAATCGATTTATTCTTAAGAATTTTAACTGATTAAGATAAAGATTAGGGACTGGAACCCAGTCTAGTTTATACCCTGCAGACCTGCACTCACCCGATCCTGTCGGGTGTCAGATTTTTTTAAGATTCTTAAAAAAATCTCCAGATTTTTATGACTTAATGGTTCACAGGTCTGACCCATGTCATTCTAGGTTATTTTTTTTTCTCACGACTAAGAGCAGCTTCAATCCTTATGCCTCTAGGGACTTACAAGCAAACTAAAAAGATATTACTTTCTAGAGGGGATTTTTGATATGTCACTAATATTAATAGAGTCGTTTTTTTTTGGCAATTTTTTATTTATTACAATTTACCCATTTAGCAGGGTGACGTCAGTGTGGGGTCCTGCAACCAAAAACCAATAGCGCTGCTCGCGGCGCTATGTTGCCTTTGGTTATAGTACCTTACACTAACGTCACACTGCTAAAGGGGCAAATTACGAGAATTTAAAAAAAACAATCAATTATATTCAACAACCTAATTTAATACTACATGATATCTTTAATCTATGAAAATAGAAATAATTTACATGAAAACAATCCCATATGAGGCATGCCATCCCAAAACCAGAGTATTGTTGCAAATTGTGAACTGAGCAATTAGCATAGAATGTGACAGCTCTGTATACTAATACCCTATTCAGACGACGTACACTCAGTGTTGCGATCGGTT